GAGTTTGATTATGAGTGTCAGTCGGCGACATTATCCGTATGTTCAAGTAAAATGAACTGAAAAAAAATATCAACCCGGCAAGGGGTGACGGTTAACAGAGGTGACGGATAATGGGAGGACGGATAATCGAGGTTGCACTGTAGAATGAATTTTTGCTGCGCAAAATAGTACAAGACATATGCAATTGCGCAATTAAAAAAAAACAAAAACAAACACCAGAAAACCTGAACGATATGCATAAAGCTGCGTTTTTACTCACTGAAATTACGTGCGATCCACACAAATTATTCGGTGTTTGAAAACCAAGTCGTTGACAAGTCGAAACAGAGAGATAGTCACAAAGAGAAATATTAGCCTCGGTGCTTTTTTCTTTGGTTTACAAAACGTCTTTGTTCTCGAATGTGAATAATTAAATGGTGTTTCATCGTTTTTTTCTTAAAATTTTTTTTTCATGCAATTTAAGCAGAAAAAATATTTGCGTGATAGTAGTCCGTCGAAATGTGAATACACTAAGAGTGATTTGAACATATGCTCTATCGCTGCACTATATTCATGTCAAGTGAAAAACATATCAAATTCTATTGCATTTTTAGCTCGTAAACTTTATTGGCAAAATGATAACGTGCGGAATGTTGTACACACATAACACTTATATTTTTAAGAGACATTGTAAATTTTCTGATGTCCAAATCGGCACGTTCAATTGATAATATTGAGTTTAAGTGCGATTTGTTGAATGGACGAGGTGAATAAAATATTATGAAATACAATTGGCCGATACCTATACAATGTATAGCACATATGTTTTTATACCGTTCCCCATCATTATCGTACTTTTTCAATATCCGAATTTTATGTATCCTGGTAGATGTGAATGACTGACACCTACTCTAATTCCCCAACATTTTGTGGGATTCCATGTTCAGTTCCTGATTGAACAGGTTTTTCTTTTCTTCGAATCAAATCCGTTACATGTCTTTAAATTCTGGGAACCAAATTAATTTGCATCGACATACAATGGAGCTAATGATTCTCTCTCTATCGCACAAAGAATATCTGAAAGCAATAAAACAAAATGTTGATAAAACTGAAATTGTTACGTCGAATTTGTCGCGCTTTGTGCATAACATGCAATGATGAAATGAAATGAAAATGATAATTTTCCTCATTATTAACTCAGTTGTTCAACAATAATAACAAACCGTTTGGTAAAACCAAATGCGTGCCTAAGTTATTTTTAATCTTCTTTTTCCCCCCGAAGGCGGGGAAATCCATATGGTTGTTGTTGCTTTGAAAAAAAGCTTGCGTTTTATACAAAGTCTTTTTTTCATTCTTCAATTGTCTGATCGTTTTCAGAAAATGATCGAAATCAAGGTATAGCTTTTAAAGAAGTTTAGCGCCGACATTGCATTCGATAAAAAACACATTCATTAAATTTGCGTCATTCAGGTGCATTTTTTAATCGTTGTAATTTTGAGATTTCGTACGGTACAGATCGGAGCGGAGATACACTTGGTGTTCATTTGCCAGTGAAGCACGTCACATGATCGAAGGTAGAAGATGCAAATAAAACACAATCAATATGATTCGGCTTAGTTTGTCGACAGAGACAGTGGCAGTGGAAACAGCAATTGCGAAAAAATTCATTATACTAGACATGTTATGAATTGTAACGCAATTAATTGATGCTGTTTTAGAATTTGTACAAAATTCATCTCACTCAAATTACCTGAATGTATTTTATTGAAGTCAACGTCATCGGATGGCAGCAACACCGAAAACAACTTACATGACAACTGTAGCGACGCGAGCGCCCCCAATTTCAATAGGCAAATCAATGTAATTTCAAAAAAAAATTTCCGAACTAAACAGCGCGACAATTTGAATTTTCTTGATGCTGCCACCCTATGGTCAACGTTAGCGGTCGTATTAAGGCAGACATTTGAAAGGGTATATTGGCTTCATACTCAAAATAAAACTTGTTTATCATTTATGGTTTGCTTAGACATTGGGAATATAATTGAAAATTTAAGCTGGACAATTTGTTGAAAAAAAAATGTGATGAACCTTTGGACATCAAACGTTTCGTCTATGTGAGTTTTTTATTAGTCGAACCCGAGTCTTTAATATATGAGTGACATATTTAATGACTTCTTGATTAAAATATTTAAAAAAAAGTGTCAAATCATTTTATAATCTGACAATTTTAAAGACTAAGTGTATATGCTGAGTTAAATACTCTAAACACCGTAAAAGCTCCCTCATTACTTTTTATAATTAGTAGAAATATGTTCATATTTCTAATTACGTTTAAAAAAAATACCTTTAACACCGTTCAATCTCTGTCAAACTGCCAAATTTTTGTATGAAAAGACCAAAGAATTTTTCATTCCACAAGCGTCGTCGGTTTTTTGTTTCAAACAACATTTTACTAACTTGATACGCTGCACGAAGAATCATAAGTCATTTTGTTGCGTTCGTCAATGTAGTATTTCAACAACGACCACAACAACAATGAAACATCACAAAGTTGGTGTCGTCACGCTGTGTGCATGTGATGTGTTTCAATGATATTTTTTCTTTGCTTCTTCTCCATGATCGAATCTTCGAATTCGACGTGTGTTTTTTTCATCATGCTGCTTCTCCCATTTGTACATAAAATCATATGTATGAGTGTCTGCGTGTGTGTATCTAAATAAGGTGTGTTTAGATGCGTGCGTTTGTTTTAGTTAAAGTGCGACAAATTCTGTCGATGATTGTGGCGATGCAGTGATTATTCCATCGATGTTGTCACCGCCATCGATATAGTTCAGTTATCGTCGCATTCCAATGAGCTCAATGTTTTGATTGGCATAAAAATTAGAAACAGCAAAGTTCAATTTTTACTCATCAAGTATATTTTTTCCAAGAATAAATACCAATGAAGCACTTTCTTTTTCTTTTCAAGATTCTTCTGCTGAACCCGGTAACAAGAAAACTCTCATTTAAAGTGCATTCGTACGTTGGTGTGTTTGTCCGTTAGTTTGATTCGGGTAACGCAACACAACACAACCGCACCGTCACACAATAAAGCACGGTATAAAAAAATAACACTTTCGAATATTTCAAGGTGAATTTTAAAACTACGTCGAGCACAAACACAGACAGTAAACGACCACGTATAATTGCTATCTTCAGCTAAAAGCGTTGATCGTAACGCGTGTAAAAAATTGCTAGCTGTAGCCATGCTCATACTATGTAAAATGGGAGAATTCGGAAGTCACATGACACTTATTTTTCTTTGTTTTATTTGTTCATTGTGCTGCTAATGTGATTTTCTTTGTGCCTGAGAATAGCAATGGATGCCCTCTCGACAACGACACACGTTAAATAAATCAATAAATATGACACACTCGTCCATATATATTAATATTACTGTTGGGTTGTGTTCTTCCGACTTACTCATATTTATTCATTTGTTTTAATTTATCAACTTTTCTATTTTCATCACAGATGATAATGTCAAGCCATTCATGGCTATTGATGGTAACGGTGGCGCTATGCGTTACCGTTATTTGTGCGGCAAGAACATCGTTGCCTTTAACAGACAATCCAGTATTCAACACAATTTCGTCAACAACTGAAAATAGCAAACCAAATGCACCAATCAAAAAATGGGCACCAGATCCAAAAATCCCCTTAGCCGATGATCCAAGGTAAATTGATAGAAATTTTTTAGATTTTTTTTTTTTGACAATTTTTTCGAACATTTATTAATCATAATCACATTGTGCAGATACAACAAAATGTTGCCGATGAAACATTTTGATGCAATCGAAAAGGAAGCTCTGGAAATGCTCCGAAGCTCAACTGATTCATCCGATTCAAACGCGAAAAAAGTGGTGGATATCAAAGAAAATGCAATCGATAAAAATGGAAAATCCTTATCTGATGATGAATACGACGATGAATATGATTACACTAATGATGATATCGATAACGACAGCGATGAAATTGTTTCCATTACACCGAAACCTGTCACCGTATCCACGACAAGGAAAGGTAAGTCTAATTCTATTTGTGTTATTGCGAAATGAATTGAGCACCTGCAATGTATTTGGTTTATACATAAATCAAAAATAAATATAAATATTTTGTTTTTAAATCATTTTGGTTTATGTATTTGCAGCATCAAAAACTACCAAAATTGTTGTGAATACTTCATCGAAGCCCGAAGTTGTTGCAACCGAGAAGGCAAAACCAAGCACACCCAATCCGAAATTGAAGTACATCAGTGATGTAGATAGCGGTATTGATGATGACTACAACGACAACGATGAAGATGGTGGGCATTTACCAAATTCATAAATCGTCCACCATTTTATAGTATACATTTGGGTGATGGTAACTGATTTGATTGCATTTTTTCTATTCTTAGATGACGATGATGACGACGATGAAGATGAGGACACTGATGATCCAATTACATCCAACGAACCAGTCGTCTGTCCAAGAGACTGTATTTGCTCACGCAATATGAATGGATTTATGGTTGCAACCTGCAGTAGGTACGGAATTCATCGTTTTTCCTGATTGAATCAATGCAGAAAGTTTGCTAAAATTTAGATTTTTGGAACATCAAGTCTCGTCTAGACTTTCTCATTACTTTCAATTATGTAATTTTCGACATATTTCGACAGAAAAACAAAAAGTAGCACGGAACTTTTTTTTAAAACCAAAACATATTTCACTGTTTACGGCACATCAGCGAAGTTTCAAAGAATTTAAACCATTTTGAAAAAAATTCAGGTTGAAATGAAACGATTAGGTAAGACAATCGAATGCATTTCTCGTTATCGTTATCGTTTTCAATATCCATTTGAAATTATTGCGGGGTGTCATTTGGAAATTTTCTAGTAAACTTGATACCAACAATTCTAAATGTATTTTGAAACTGACTACGAGGTATGCATTTGATTTTTTTTACACTTCTATGATGAAACACAATGGTCTAGTAAGTCAATTCTAGTTAGCCGAATTATTGCTGTCATACCGAGTCGCTTCATTTCAAGCTGCATTTTTTTCAGTTTGAATTTAACTCGATACACATAGTTTGAATTCTTGTGAAATTGTGCTGATGAGCCGCCACTCGGCCACTCTCACTAACTTTTCGAAAACGAAGATTCGATGTTACCGTTTGTTTTTTCTGTTTGGAATTATGATTTTTCATGGATTGAATTCCTAAAACAATTACATACATTTAACCCAATTTTGTGGTCATTCTCTTCAGACTTGATGCTGGCATTCAGAACTTTTCGGCAGGTATTACCGATCTTGAGGTAGTGAATGTATCACCGCAATATCCAATTGTTTTGGGTGCAAGTTTCTTTAAATTAGTCGGTCTGGAGCACGTGTCATCGATAAAAATCGTGAACTCGTTCATTGCAAATATTCATCCGAAAGCGTTCGAAGGACTTGTCGAATTGTATTCGGTGAATTTGACCAATTCGGGTATCACCATTTTGCATCCGGACACCTTTGCTGAAAATGCTAAATTGCGTCTTCTATCGCTGGATGCCAATGATCTAAGCCAAATGCAACAGAATCAAGCTCCATTCAACGATTATATGCTAAAGGCTCCGTCCGTTGAGGAGCTTTCGTTGTCACGATGCAATCTCAAAAAACTGTTGCCGACCGCATTCGATCGCTTGGAAAATACAATCTTTATCAATTTGGCAAATAATGATTTGCAATCGCTGCCGCCAAATCTTTTCGATAAAGTAACGAACATTGAAGAATTAGACCTGTCTTCAAACAAAATCTCCACTTTGCCCAAGAATATTTTCGCCAAAACATCATTGGCAATTCTCAACTTGAAATACAATCAAATCGAATCGAAGTTGGACTTTGCCACATCGGAAATTCAAAAGCTTGACTTGAGCTACAACAACATTTCGAATGTTGGAAACATGATGTTCAATGAATTGACCGGTTTGACAACATTGCTGCTTAAAGGCAACGGTATCAAGAAAATCCATCAAACATCATTCTTCCCGCTGAAAAATTTGCGCCAAATCGATTTGTCATACAATGATTTGGAGCAAGTTTCATCCACATTGTTTTTGGTGAACAAAGAACTGGATGTGATCCGATTGAATGATAATTATCGATTGAAATCGTTGCCATTGGAAGGTTTCGCATGCGAATCCGGTAAATTCAATGTTTACTTGTTTGATTTGCAAAACTGTGATATCAGCGAACTGGGAGATGATACATTCAAGAATATGCCACGTATGACGACCCTCAACTTGGCCTGGAACAATATTGAAACATTGACCAGGGAATTCTTCAAGAGTATGACTAAATTGATCGAACTGAACTTGAGCAACAATGTCATCAGTGAACTCGAGAATTTGACGTTCTTGAACAATCGCAATTTGAAAAAGGTAAAATTTGAACGTGCAATCAAATGAATACACATTCAATTCACACATTCGGTGTTCCAAATTTTTTCGTTGCTTTATAGTTGAATCTGGCTGGAAATCAATTGCAAAAAATATCGCCACGCATGTTCTTGCCGCTTAAGGATCTGACTGAATTAGATTTAAGTAGCTGTGATCTTGTTGAAATCTGGTCAGAGCAAATTTCGGCCAATCTCCCAACATCGACAGTCCTGAAGAATTTGAAATTGCTTAATGTGTCCAACAACAACATTATTCATGCCCGCCACTCGCATTTCTCGTCCATGGAAAAATTGGAAGTGCTCGATTTAAGCAACAATCATTTGCACTGCGACGATGGATTCAAGAATCTTATTCAGTGGCTTAAGGATCGAAAGGTATATTATTGAGAGAAGAAAATTGGGTGTTATAGAGTGCTCACCACATTTTTGATGGCCCTTGATTTATTTATTACTTTTGATTCTTCTTATAAATAGATCAAAGCTGGCAATATTCACGCTGGATTCAATGCCGAATTAACCGAAAATGGGCATGCAGTAGACTCAAGCGCCTCATACTCGCTTGGCTGGGAATCATTCGCAACGAATGTGTGCGCAGCCCATCAATCGACCAACGTTGATAGCAAGGCAACAGCCAAAACGGACGAGTACGCCGATGAATCAGTCGACAACAGCGACTCAGATGACGAAGACGATGAAGAAGAGGATGATACAGACGAATCAAGTAAGTGTTACAGTGCCTGTCGAACGATGTAAAAAATTGTGAGCATTTTAATTCGCATTTCATTCAATTACTTTCAGCTCAAGCGACCAAGGAATCTGCATCGGTCAACACAGAGGCCGAGGATTTGGACAGTGATGAGGAGGAATATGACGATGATAATGACAATGACAATGAAATTGAAATCAACAGCGGAAACGAATTGCGTGACAAAGACAAGATCATTGCCGAAGAAATCGATGGTCTCAATGACCGTATCATTGATCGTAAGTGTTAATTCAATCACAATTTGCAATTGAAAACAATGTTCAATTTGAAAAAAAAATATCCCCATTTCAGTTGAAGGTGACGAGTTGAGTGGTCATGGAAAATTATTGGCAGTAGCTGTTATGGTTACAACATCAGTATTGGCCGTTATCTTATTGGCAACGCGCATCGTATCAATATTTAGGCACCGCCGTGGCGAGAGATACCGCCAAGCTTTGCTTGCATCAAAGAATTCGATCATCTATCAAAAACTCTCTGAAGAAATCAATGCACCACAAACACCAAAGATTCATCGATATGCTCCGATCAATCAAGTCTAAGAAAGAGCAAATGCTGCCTTCTTCATTGTTTTGTAGCAGCAGTAGCAGCAGTAGCAGCAGCGGCATCAACAACAGCAGCAATAGCATAAATTTACAAATATCCGAACAAAATAGCAAATGAAAAGTGAAAAAGAAAACATTTCCGTACTCACGATAGCTTTCTCAACAAGTTCAAAAACTTCTCTTTTTTGTCCAAATGTAGGAGTTTCGAAATTTACGATGGCCCAACTCACTACATATAGTATAGTACATGAAAAAATGTTGTACTTACATCACAGGATTTTTTTTTAATGGTTGATGCACAGAATATTCCTATACTCGTGGCCATCGTTCCAAAGTCATTCCGATCATACAATAAATCAATATCATGCGGTTGACTTACGTTACTATAATTATTGAAGATTTATCAATTTGTATTTGAAATTAGTCAATTATTTCATTTTTTTTTATTTAATTCAAAACTATATCGTTTTTAATTCCAGTATAAAAAGCCATAATTTCTAATAGATGTACTTAATGAATTAAGATAGAAAAAAAAACTTTTACTGGATTTTCAATAGCATGTGTTAATTTAAGATCTTCTTCGACAGTTAAAAACATTCCAAATTGCATTTAATTTCGAAAGTGAATATAATCCAAAATGGGAAAGAAAAACAACTTTGGTTTGGACAACAAAATCAGCCATCTTAATGTTTAATGTTTTTTTTAAAGAATAAGAAATAAAACGAAACAAAACAATACAAATTCAACACATTCTTTTAATTGCATTGGAGGGAAACTAAGCAAGAAATTTGGGTACGGTGAGTTATTAATGCAACGCTTAGAAATGCAGAAAAAAGAGATAATGATACGCTACCGCAAACGAGATAACTAATTACCAGTTCCGGGTCCAGTACAATTACAACGAGTGAATGTTACAATAAGACTCCATTTGTTTCTTTATTTCAAATTTATTTCGTCTCATACATTACAAAAGCACTTAGTATCGATTCGTGTTCTACATTTAAAAACTAGGCAAAATATATAGTATTTCTTTCTGAATAAATTTTAAACATCTAAGTAATCATAGTAATCGTATCATCGTTTCATATTCACGGTAGTGAACTAAATTTTAGTTCTCTTTCTCCCTCTCTCTCCGTCTTCCTTTCACATAGTTGTTTCACTGTCTGGCGGTGTATGATAATTCAAATTGTAGGCTGGTGGGCCATTGTTCAGGAAGGCAATCGATCGTATGCTCTCTCTGGATGCAGATTGCCTTGATGGTAATTGCGGAATTGGCATTGGCTGTGATCTGGGTTGCATATCATTTGAAGTCATTGAATTCAGGCCTACGAATACGTTTTCATTGTCCGTGGTGGCGATATTGGTGCTGTGCGCTCGAGCACCATGGAAATTTGAATAGCTTGACCGCACTGATGGTGGCCGATTATTGTACACTTCATCCACCATTTCGGGATTGTTTGTGGCTAAATTTGGTGTTGAATGTTGATATGTGGGATTGTAATGGCCTTGAGGTTCACTCTGACCACCACCGCCACCACCGTGCACTGTGAGATTGGTCGATGATAATGAATTCCAAGACGGTTCGAAGAATGTCGTCGATTGACTCATGTTATAGTAAATTGGATCGGGAACTATATTTGGCGTAAATGTTTGAGATTTTCGAAATGATTTGTTTACATTTGCTGTTAATGTGTCCGTGTTTAAATACTTTAAATTCGATTTGGTCAATTGTGAGTCTGTGTGCGGCTGGAACGTTGCATTCGATTTCGATGGCCGACTCAGTTGATGCATTTGATGATATGATGAGCCTAAGAAAATAGCATACAGTTAGTCTTGTTGATGATGAAGTTTATTTTTTGTCAGCATCGGATAAGTTTTACTCACCTTCAATAGGCGTTGATATATCAGAGTGGCCATGCTGGTAGTCCATTAGTTTTGTCACTGGATTTTGTTGGAAATGTTTCGTTCGTCGCGACGAGCGCATGCTATTCCGGTTGGAGCTATGGCTGCGACGACTGTTTGTACTTTGGCGGCTATTTGTTCCGCGCGTCATCACCGAGCGACGCTTGACACGGCGTGGCGTCATTGGCTTCGGGCTGACTTCAGACGACGCATTTCGATTTGACTCATGCTCATAGTCAAGGATTGTATTGACTGGTGGACTAAACTCAATCGAATATAACGACTGTCGTTTTTTCTTTGACTTCGTATTATTTCTCGTTGCTGGGAGAGAAACAAAAACAACATTTGATATTACAATCAATTGATAAACAGTTCCACATGGAAAACAGACTACAGACAAACCAAAATTCAAACTAAAGCAACAAATACACAATTAATAAATGTTTCTTTATGAAATAATTTACCAGTACATACCAAATCTGATTCAATCAGATACAAGAAAATGCCCATTTTTTAAACCGAAAATTCGAGTTAGTTAACAAAAAAAAACCACAACCATTGATAATATGATTTGATCGATTTCGAATTACATTTCGCCTTTTGCCATTTTTTTTCTTTTCAATCCTTCTCCCCGGAATGTTGAAGCGTTGTTGTTAGTTAGCCAAACACAAAAAAGACATGCAAGCGAATTTCTATCGTCGTTAATAATCACTTGTTCGAAGATTTAAGTAAAAAGTTCTTTTTTCAGTATAATTCACAGTATAAAATATTTATTAATTAGCTAATTATTTAGGCAACAGGATGCAACAAAAACATATATGGAACAAATTATTTCATAATTATAACGAGTCTATTTCGCATCAGAGTTAACAAAATCATTCTCATTTTCATTTTAAATGACTCCGAGGGTTTTTCCCCCCTTAAATAAGTAAGAAACAAAAAAATTCATCAGTGAATAGTGTTGAGTGTTTTTTTTTCTTTGGCGGAGATCTAGTATAAAATAAGATCGGAAAATAGTTCCGTAACAGAAATTGGTCTAATTGTAGACACGAGGCCGTTGTAGAAATTGAGTCAAATATTTCAATTGCGGAAACTGAGAAAAGCTCTTGAACTTTATCAGGTATAACCTTTCAATCAATCGAGCGCGTTCACAGTCTACTACAGATAATGACAAATATAAATTCGATTATTATCATCTATTTGTTCTTTTTTCCCCGTCAGCATGGCCAAAACATTCTATAAACATTGTCTTTTTCAGCTACATAAAGGCGCAACACTTCCAATTTGATGAAAAGAGACGACACGAAAACGCATTGCTTTTTCATAAGAAATAAAAAACTAACGTCAACATTACGACACGTTTATATTACATAGTATGTGTAGAGTGTTCAACAAGTATCAAATAAAATCAACGACCGAAAAATCGACACATCTTGTCGAAATAAGAGTATGTAGAACAAAGTCGTTATCTCCATTCAAACAGAAGACAAAAACAAAAAAACGATTTCAAAAATGATGCAAGATTGATTTGATGGGGTCTATAAAAATGGTCTGTCTACAATTGTGTTGGGCAATGATTGGCATTGCTACAGTAAGACTTTGGCCTCGTGCGACATCGAGCGGCTGATACGCCGTTATGCCGTTGACTAAACAAACGATCATGTGAAAATGTTCGCTTCATGAGGAAGTCATCGATGTGATCGTACTTGGGTGGCGACTCATTGATTCTATTTTGGTCATAGTTCATGAAAACGTTGGTGTTTAAATCATGTCGCCGATATGAATAACGAGGTGCACCACATTTGCGATCATTCATGCCGCTAGCATAAATACCGTACGGTTGATGTGCCACATTTTCGGCAGCGAAGCGTGCAACCGCAAATGGGCAACAATTCTGAATGCCACACTGACAATTCGGGTGGTTATGTACTTTGGGCAATACTATCGATTTTTTCCGCTCATAGTCGTCGAAGAAGAACGAAGAAGAAGGTGGTGATGAGCGAACAAACGTATTACATTCGGTGGCCAGTGTTGAAGTTGTACTGGAATCTCGATACTGTGGCTGTGCCACTTTGGAGCCCGCATTAAGCGGCGATCGAAATTTGACATAATTGAAATTGTAATCGATTGATGAAGAGCGTGTATCGTCCGAATCGGAGTATCGTATTGAACGCGGCATGTAGCTTCCGCCATCGCCGCCATTGCCAACGGCACACGGTTTGCCTGAGTTGCGACAAACAATGCCATTATTACGCTTGTAAACGTGATCTCTATTGTGCGACCGCATCGGGTTTGTCATGATTCTTTTGGTAAAGTTGGGATCATCGCCGCCACCGCCACCGCTGGATTCATCAATGTGTGTACCGTTTAGATACGGATTGAACGACATTGAATAGAAATTGGTCATCGCGTTTTTCTCACCCATTGACTTGCTATTGTCACCAGTCTTGATAGTTGTATTGATACTCGTATTTGGATTTGTGTTTGTTGTCGTGTTAATCAAATTGCGGTTATTAGTTGACGATTGGTTATTATGGTCGTTAATTAATTTGTCTAGGTTACATGTAGCAGCGCTTGTGGAAGTGGTAGTTACATCTAAATATGGGTTCGTTAGTAATTTAGTTGATTTCATTGTTGTATTAGCTGTTGATGTCGGTATGCTTGTATAGCTCACGTACATCGGAAGAACGATTTTATGCTGCACACATTTGGCGTCGCCACCCATAAAATCGACTGCAAAAAAGGCGAATCCCGAAGTAAGATAGAAAAGAGAGAGAGAAAAAAAAAACAAAACAAAAATCACATGGAAGAAAAGAATTCAAATTCAGAGAGACACTGAGGGAGGACGAGATATAGGCATAAGGAGGATGTCGAATGTATGTATGTTTTAGTTTGTGATATATGTCTGTATGTCTATATGATTTGTGTTTTTTTTTCTGTTTATTGTTGATGTGATGCAATTTTCAAATGAAAACCTTTCATCAGCCCATCCATCTTCAATTTGTGTTTTAATTTCCTAACCAATAAGTTCGAGTGTGAACATAAACAATGGCTTTTAATATGCATGCATATATGTATGCGAAAATGATGAGTTTTGTGGCTTTTGTTTGTATATTCTATTCGAATGGTGAAACATTAATGAATGAACGTGATGTTAGCCAGAGATTAGTTAAATGGAATTTATATTATTTATTATTATTGTCTTAAACGTTAGTTTTCGGTTGAGTTGGATGCGGAATACACCCAAATTTCAAAAGCACAAACTCTACGATATAACGATGTCTAGCAATCTTTGTGTTTACACGCAAATTTTGCCTGTTTGTTTACCCAAGTAACATTTATGTAATGCTTTTTACCGTTAAATTAAGTAATGCTTTTGCCCACTTCAGTGGTGCATTTGACCATTAATTCACATACAATCCCGTCCGAATCGGATGAAATTCGGGTATCATCCAACTGTACGCTACACTCGAATCACATCCATTTGTGACGGTAATAATGTGTGTGAAAACTGACTGACTGACTGAGAATTATATATGTACAACAGATTTGATCGTTTTCATCTTTGAATCAATTGAGAAATCAGAACCGTTGTGCAACATTTTCAATTGTAAATGTCACTTGAAATCTTCAAACTATTCATTAGCTATTTCTAATTGATTTGTTTTTACCGTTTTTTTCTACTTCCATTGTGACGTTAAAAATGACTGAAACTACACACAAATGCGGGCCCTATTCGACCGTTTACATACGCTTGGTAATGGATGTATTTGCGTCAACAATTGTTTCTTGGGTACAGCAGCATATTTCTCTTGTGAAGCCGATCAATAAAATTTAATAAAATTGCCGATCAATTAAAACATTAATTATTCATCATGTTGAAAACTGCATTCCATCGTTAATTTGAATGTATTTGAAATTGATTCGATTTGATGAAGAGCGAATGTATGTGTGAACTGTATATTATGTGTATACTTGATTGGCCGTTCCAACTTCGGAGTACAGCCCAAGAAGTTCACATTAGAAAAAAGAACGGTGGAAAAAATCAAAATTCTTTGGTTTGAAGAAAAAAAAGTAGTTCCTAAATTTTATGACCGATAAATACTATGAATGCTATGATAAGGGAACAATTTAGTCCGTTGAGGATAGAAAATAACATGTATCAGTGTGAGAATGAGTGTGTATTTGTTTTTATGTGTAGCTATGTATGTTAATGAAAAAATTCATCTACTGGTTTTAGATTCAATGGAATGACATTCTACCTATGAAAAAAAAATTACGCGTCAGTTGGTATTCGTTGGCATAAATTTTTTGTTTTCGGTTCCGTATCAATTTTTTTTCATTTGCAAACTTATGCCTTCAAACACAAACTGTTGATATGAAAATAGATTTGGTTAAAACACATGCGGGATAATGAAACCCTCGAGACTACTAATGGAAAACTATATTACTACGAATTGAATGGAAAATATAGTGCGCATGGTTCTACTCACATCGATCGTCATCATCGAAAAAAACTTGAGCTAAACACATTGCTCCGATAAGTCCGAGAATCTGCAAATTTATTCAAAATTTACTGTTGTTGATTTAACTGAATGTAATTTACATAAACGATGATGCTAAATCATCGTATCCAATTTCTATCCCGCTAAGTATGCACGGAAATAGGAAATATTACCGCAAAAAATAATTGAACACTCGAATGTATGACTTCAATAGTTTGATATTCGAGCAAACATCCTTCGACATACTCTGGCCTGACCAAACGATATGGATCCTCCGATGTGATATTTGTTGGAAACGTTGGCACACATCCGTAGCCGTTCACTTCAAACCATGATATTGATCCAGTGCCTAAATTTAGTATATCGCTATCCTGAAATCGTACAACCAACAAAAAAAAGAAGTAATTATAGACTTTTGCTCACAGCGTACATACCATTTGGCAGCCACTCCGTACTACTTACTCGATTGAGAACGCCAACATTCAAATAGAAACAGATAAGAAAAATGTTCCACCCAACCCAAAGTAGAGTCCATATTGTGTACTGTATTGAGTGATGAATAGAGAAAAGAAAATTGTGAAAAGATTTGTTGATGACGTCGAGACTACTGCATGCTATAGAACAAAAGTGGTTTATTAAGAGTGTTTGCTAAGCTTGCGTTGCGAAATTCCATCAACTAATCAACAAATCGACGTCGTAGACGAACGCACTTGGTTGAGGTTGCAGCAATTGGTTGGCTCTTCTCTAATTTCGTGATTCAAGTTCTCGCCTTTCACATAATACAAGTGGCAAATTATCTACGACGCATTGCGATCACAATGTATAACAAATACAAAGAACATTAGTCATAAAATTACCGTTTAGCACTTTACACCAAATTTGTGAACTAGTAATAATGCATAGCGCACCAAAAACCAATTCCATTTCGAAGCAATAAAGAGAGCGACGAAAGAAAGTCGACGATGATAAGATAAGGGGGCAACGAAAATAAAATGATTGACGAACTGGCGAACCAACCAGAGTTAGGTGTTTAATTTCCGAGTATCATTTTTCATTTAAACAGCACGCATACATATACGTCTTTGTCTTGCTGACGACGACGACGACGACAACGACCGAGTGTCGAATGCCTAAACGAAATTGCCGGCTCCCACATTGGAATCTATGCTCCAATTGTGGTTCGAAAATTCTGTACTAGCGTTAATAAGATTTTGACGCCGGATTATTATCACAGTAAATTTAATTTACTGTTAGATAATGTAAATAATGCACATGATAGAGCTAATATTAAACTAGCATGTGACTCGACATTCTCTGTATTTTCAAATACTAGAGAAAAACCGACGATTTGAAAAGTTTTTTCGATCATGTTTATTTTATGTCGATGTTGGTGAATTTCGCATGATAAATACACCGATTGATTGATTTATGAAGTTGGATGACATAATTCATTCGGAACTCGGAATGCAAATAAAAGAAATACCACAGGAAACGTGAAATGAAAAAAAAAACAGTCTACAACCATCCAATGAAAGTGGGTGATAAACTAGATTTTTTTGTTTCTTGAGTGTGCAACTGATTCCGTCTATTCACTTTTGCATTTTGTTGAGTCATAACTACTACTTTGCAGCGCAATCCCATGTCGTCCATACCATCAGCAAACAATCATATGCCGGAAAAAAAGTGGAACAATATGAATTCAATTTGGCAGTTGAATACCATTTTACACTTTGCTAATCTGGACGTTTCGATTGCAATATCGTTAGAGAGAGAAAAAAATGAAGTATAATACAAAGTTTTTTTCTTTAAACAAACCAAATGCGCGATTGCTGACCTTTCGATCGATTTGCACAATACATAGCACATGGATTTTTTTTCTGCCAACAACTATTACCACTGCATAACGTCAAAGTAAGGTATGAAAAAAGGTTTTGCGCTTCGTCGAGCATATAAACGAAAGAAAAAACGAGCGTTGAATATGAGAACAAATACCGTCATCTACTTACCGTTATGAGATATTTTGCGCTAAATTGATAACCGCCGAAAAATCCGAAAATCACGAAAATTATTTGGAAAAAGTTAGCGAGTATCGGTGCCCACATGTACCCAAGAAAGTCGAATATTTGCCGCTCGATTATCGCAAGCTAATGAAAGAAAGAGGAAAAATAAAGATGAAGAAAAGGAAAACCATTAAATTCGTTGATAAAGTTGGCAAAGCCAATTATTATTATTAATTGACTTGTTTATTGTTGTTTGTTTGTTTTTTTTTAATATTTTTGTTGTTGTTGTTGTTGTTGCATGTATGTATTCGAATTGTGTGAGTGAGTGTGATCTTGTGCAGCGAGTCTTTTGCATAGATTTTTTACATGCACAAGTTTATTGAACTACGATCAAAATACAGTCAATGCACGACTATTGTTTTTACGTATCAATAGTTTTTTCTCTCTCTGTTGTTCATTGTGAACGAGTTCTGGTGTGCAGCACATATCGTACTATGTTTCGTGGAATGAAACGACGAAGAACATCCGTGTGAATTGAATAATATTGAAAAGCGTCAAGGATATTGCATCCTCATGAATCCAATTTGATTTAATTGAATTCGACTTGGGTTTCGTGATGCGAACATTTTTGGGCTATTATTCGGTAAATTCTGTATTAAAACGAAAACTATCAGTGAATTTATCGCCATATGCATTCGAGCTCCGAATTTAAACTCATCGCTTTCATTGTGCACTCACACCCACACACACACACACACACATAGTAATTTCAACCGTGTATATTGTAATCGACCAAGAAAAACCGATAGCGTTTTTCTTCCCTGTTCACTTGCTTATTTCGTTGTACTCCTGCATTCTTCGCTGTGAAAGTGAATGTGAGTTTTTGTACTAAATACTGGCATTTCGCATGACTTCTCTTTCATTTTAATTGTAAGCATTTTGTAGCGTTTCTCCTAGCCATTGCATGAATTATTAGAGTTCAATTCGATTTACCATGGCATTGATATCGTGTCTAGGAGTAGCAGTGCAGATGAAAAACACTATCAGCATGCGAATTGTATTTTTTTTTCGTGTATTAGATTTTGATTTATTCAATCTAAAACACATGCCAATGCAAACAAAATCGGTGTTATGGAAGCGAATGTAATTTCAACATAAAGTGTTTTCTTGTTTTTTTTATTTTCATTTTTAAAATGAACATGCGCGTGTTGACGTTAGTGTTAAATCTTACGTAAATCGTATCAACTTGCTTGCTTCTCACCAATGGTAAAATAGCAACCATGTCACAATTTCCTGAATCTTTCAATGTTTATTTTTGTTCATACGTTCAGTGTCTCCTGGGAGCACCAAAAGATCACTGCGCAAAACGAATTGGGACCGATTTTGTGATATGGGAACAAGTCAACAGACGCTTGCATCAAAGTCAATAAATCATGCAAAGTGAATATGTGAATTTTGTTGACTATTTGTATTTTAGGTGATTTGCTTTCGTTTTCTTCTAAACTTCAACACAAGCTCATCAAATTCAGAATCGTCGAGCAAAACAACCAGACTTTTGTTGAGTCGAACTATATATGTTTTTGTGTGTGTGGAAATTTAAACTAATTCGAATTTTGAAAACGACTGTTGTGTCACAATTTAGATATATATATTAATTTTTTGTGTCAATTTCACAATTTTATCTGGTGAAAATTATTCGTCACGTTCTGGCGCATGTTCTGATGTTGACGGAAAAATCGTTTTAGAGAAGGGAATGCATGTGTGGCAAAAGGAGTTAGTCTTGAGGATAACGAATGGATCTCATATCGTATAAGTGTATAAAATGCAGGCCAGAACATATGCTATGTCGATCTCTCAACCGAAAATGTGATCGTATTTGTTTTCTTTGAACGAAATGAAATTTGATGCTTCTTTCCATCGGACGAATTATTATTGATAAATTGGCTCGCGACACAAACTCCAACATCGTTACTGTAAACAAACAACATCACTCAACAATGAAATTATGCAACGTCATGAGTGAAGCGGAATTCCATTTGAGTGGCTTAATGTGCTGTCGACTTATAAATAAAACTTCAGTCAACAAGAAATACTTTGTTACATTTGATCAATCAGTTGTTGTTTTAGACAAAATTTGAAGCCACACACTTGTATGGATTTTGTCGAAAATGAAACGCATACTTAGTTAACGCAAATGCAGCAGTACAAATTTAAATGTTAACTTGAAGATTAGATAAGCATATCGCTGTTTAAAAACGAGTACCTCAGTAGATTTGATAGCTTTCTTCGACCCATTCACATTTTCGATATAAATTCATTTGGTGGCTATTTCATTTCGTTTTCATTCCTCCAAGTATTTGAATCGTTTGGAAAGGTACTGGTTGATTAAGAAGAGTGAACAGAACAGAAAAAAACATCGATTCATTCAATATCTGAACAATTTTATTCGAACTACTTTTTTTCTTTTCTTTCCGTTCCTGAACAACAACTCGATTACTGTTTGGGAATTCTTTCGTCCATGCGAATGAATATCATTGTTTTTAAGCCATGATTTTGATTCCTCTATTGCTTTACCTCTTTTCGTTCAATGGGCAGTGCATTCACAAAGCCTTTAAATATTAAAAGCATTTGCTTTTCGATTGAAAGTACGGAATCAAAAATGAAAGAAGGGAAAAACTCAAAGAAAATTCCTTTTGATCGTCTTTTGTTGAGCAAACGTAATAAAATGCAAAGCCAACGATATTTATTGTAATATCGAGCGCGAAGTCCTCAGGTTAGAGTGAGACCGAAGAGATTGCCATACCATCAAAGTGTTTGTATTTGTTCATACATGTGTGTATGTGTGTATGTGTGTGTGAACAGGTCTCAATATACTTTGAATGATATATTGTGAACGCGGTGAATGTAAATTGGTCATGGAAACGACAGGTGTACGTGTAGCTCTTCATTTGAATGTGTATCGAAACGAGGGTTGGACGAGTGAATTGAAGGCTTCATTGATGAAATGGCAATTTGTTGTTGTTGTTTTCCCTTGTTTCTTCGATACCGCCATGCTCTTCACCTCTTTCGCCGTTCGCAATTCATTGCTGGCTTTAATTTTATGTTTATATGCTCATGATTGCTTCAATGAGACGTATACTGTCCACACGCACGCTAGATAACGTCGCATTTCAAGGTTATCACATAACATTCAGCGAGCAAAATATATTAATCGATAACGGCAAATTAAGTTTCAATGCATGAATGAATGCAAACACACAGCTTGCACCTTCCTTTCACTCAACAATATGCATTCAAAATGAAACTTCCCAAATAAAGTCCATCGTCTGGCGCAAAAAAAGAGACATGGAATGCTCAAGAAACAGAAAGAATGTCCTAGCGTATGTGATTTTTTTTTGGAATTAATCATTATTTTCAGCATAAATTTGAGTCGAGTGAGAAAACCAAACAAAAATCTTAGCTTATGAAATCGAAACGAATAAAGAATGTGTCTAGATTTCAATTCAACGATCAGTAGAAAAAAACATTTCGAAAAAAAAGAAATAAAATTAAACAAACAATCGAAATAATGTGAATGTTTTACAATTTTTTTTTTTATAAAAAAAAATAATTCTCATCTCCGCTTTGGTCGCTGCATTATGTACAATTTCAAGTGCAAAGCGAAGTACGTGAGAACTTTTTCCAACTCATCGCTGTCGCATTTCATTTGAATTCCTCACACAAACACATGTAGTGCGCGCTTTGTAATGCCTTTTTTTTATTCGTTATGCTTTCGCGTTATGCGCTCATCAAAATGACAATAGGAGAGAGAGAAGAAGAAGAAAAAAAAATAGGAACGATGTGGAAAAGTAACAGTGACGCAGAGCGAAGGAAGATCACAAACAAATACACATGCCAAATGAAACCACCGCTTCATTGTAATATGGGAAAAATAGTTTTTTTAAATGCTTCTATAAAAAAAAAATGTTTTAAATTGTTGCTGCTACTGCTTGCTGCTACGGCTTTTAGTGTGTACTGACAACGATGAGTCGGGTGTTCGCAACGAATTCGATTTGTTTGCGACGTGTTTGCATTATCGTGTTGATGATAACATCAGAGTTGAAAAACAATAGCCATAGAGCCATAGAAATGTTATTATGTATGTATGGATGTATGTGGATTGTATATGTACACTGTAGATCGTGAGTCGTTTGTGCGTTTCAAACGCAGCATTTGAGTAGTTATAAATTATCCGCATGACGAGATAGTCGTTGATCTTTTGCTTACTCAACCATCACCACTTATGAAAATGAAAATGAACTTCAAGGCGGACGCATTCGACATTCGCATTGACACCACGAGAAATGTAACAAATGAATTCACCGAAAAAAAACCAGGGAGACTCACTCATGTTGTCGGTCAGTAAATGACAGAGTGAAAAAAAACGAAAACTAAAAAGAAGAAAGCAGACGCTCCAAGTCTTAGCGCCATTGTCCGTCTTTCAGCATGACCGAATAAAATTATTCACACATTTCATGCAGCTTTCCAACGATTCGATTATACTATGTCTCGTGTTTTGGTTTTGTTTCAAATGTAAATTGCTGAGTGTGTTCATGAGAAAAGTGCGGAAGTAGAGACAAAGATAGGGAGTACCAAGTTTTTCCAAACTCACTTGCTACTTTCTCTGCCAGGCTGGCTGAGTGTATCGAATGAATTTTCGTCCACAGCCGATATTGAATATATAACATTTCTCAATATAATAATATTTCAACCTTAAAGCATAAAAACGTCTGCCACACAGGTTAAGTGGGAGAGCACATATCGACTTTGAGTCTCTGCACAAAATGGGTATTCATTGCCTGACTTGCAGTGTGTGTGTGTGTGTGTGTATGTGTGTGTGTGCTTTGAAGGAGCAGGTGTGCGACGAATACAATGCACAAAACTTGCGAAAACCGCTTTAAATATATGTGTATATAAATTTATATCTACAGTAGTTGATGCAAAAACTTACCAATTGCAGCATGCATATTGACAACAAGTAGTGTCGTGTTGTACAAGATCCCATCGTGTCATTTTCCGAGTACGATACCACTTAGGAAGAAGCACCTAGCTTTTGTTTTCAATCCTATTGTATGATATCACCAATACAAAATCACTCGTGTTCATCGATCAGCATGACATACACATTTATGCTATCTTTGGAATTGATTAACTCTTCTTTTTCTTCTTCTTTTTTTGCAGCAGAAGGACTCTTTACTGATTCGCGCGATGCAATTATTATGATGCAATTATTATGATGCAACCAATTTCACTTTCACACAATTTTTTCGTATCGTTTCTCATATAAATACTGTCGCGCACTATTTGATTTTCAAATAAATTCCAGAGTAGAGAATATCGGCTATGCCTACAGACGGTTCACACAATAGCACAGCAGAATAGAATTTCTTTTTCCTGCCGATGGTTGTTCGTTGCTTGTTTTGTGTCATGAAACATTCCTTTTTGTCTGACTCCGTGTGTTTGTTTGTATGAGTTTTTACTATGCTTTGTTAGTCTTTGCAATCAACAATAATCATCCACAGTGAATCGGTCTTTTACTTTATGTCTATGCCTTTGTTTCCCTTAACCTTTGGATTCTTTATGCGTCCGTTTAGCTCAAATAAAATTATTTCGAGTTTTTAACGTTTTTTCGTCGATTTTCTCTCTTTCTTTCTATTTTCTGTGTATGTGTGTGTTCGTTCGATCGATCTATTCCAGCACAATTACTTTTGTCTCTATTTTGATTTTCATTCGTAGATTTTCTTCTCCTTTCTTTCGGATGAACGGTTCCAAAGAGCAGTAGTATGTAATCAAGAAATCGATTTAGTCGACGACGCTTTGGTAAACTAAAAATAAATTTTAATCCTAAAAATCGTTCCAATCACAATTCTCGGTGTGTGAGAATGAACACTTGATATCGACGACTCTTGTGTAATTAATCACACGATGCCAACAATAATATATCCTTCCATTAAAGAAAATCTCACTTGTTTAATCGCGCGAATCACTTTGCGGCAATTTTTTTTGGTATAATTTTGTTTTATCCGGATTATAATTTCTGTACATTTATCTGAGGTGAGGCAATGGCATCACTGTTCGTTTGTTTCTTCTTCTGTTTTCGTTAGCACATTTAGAATTGCATCTGTAGATTTATGTACTTGTACATTGCCAATGCAATTATTTTCGAAATCAAACAATGCACAATAAAAAAAACACACACACACACACATAAGTTCGTCGAGTTTCTAATAATTGTTCGACAGTCAACAAGAAAACAAAATAGAAACAAAAATACAAGAAAATTTATCAAGTGCAGCAGAAGCAGCAACTGTACAGTCGATAATAATGTTCGAAATCAACACGTTCAAAACATTCCGATTCACATGATGAGTAATCTCAATAAATTTTCGTTACGTTTTGTTTTGTTTTTATTTTTCTTTGGTTGTTGTCAATGGAATCCGGCTCCGTTGATGATTTGCACATTTTCTCTCGTTTTCTCATTATTCGCTTGAATCAAAATGTCGATGTCTCTCTTTTTGTACACGTTCCGAGCCGAAATCTGAAACGGGAATAATAAAAACGAAAAGGTAAGGTTTTAATGTGAACAGCGATGAACGAATCAGGCGGCAGGCAAAATCGGTAACGGGAACTATTCACTGCTTTCTCTGGAGCCACTTTTATTTTTCGGGTAAATTAATTAGCGAATTCATGATTATTTCTCTCTCATTATTTGTTAAACGTTGGGTTTTTGCAGCGAAAAAAATTCAACAACCAGAGAAATAAAAAAAAAAGATACCACGGAGCGGTACTGTGGTGTATCATGTATCTGATGGTGAAATACACAACCGATAAAAATTGACTCAAAGCGACTTTCCGACCATTCATTCAACGATGAATTTTCAAAGCAAAACAATACATTTTTATGAATAGAAATGCAAAGCAAATTAGCACCAACAACAACAACGACGACGACGACGACCACCACAATTGGAGTATCGCAATTTCAAAGCCGGTGAAAACTCATTTGAAAAAAGAGTACCGCCAAGAGCTGTTGATATGGTATATTGCATTGTGTTTTATGAAGTTTAGCTTATATGAAACACACCAAATGCGTATCGGACGAGCGAACGAGTGAATCAAAATACGGTTGCATGTATTCGCCAATTTTAGGCATTTTTTCCGCCAGTTTCAGTATGCCAATGATTGAATGAATGGGAAGGTGGATATTCGTGCAATGAAGAAAAATCAAATGCAGATATAGACAGTTCGACCGGATGGTTTGGCTACCGCCGTTGCTATTTTCCGTCACTTGAATTTTCACGTTGCCTGGGCTTGTTTCGTGTTGTATGTGTAATTTGTCGGAGTTTTATTTGCCGCGGTGATACGTTTACGTCTTGATTTTATGCCACCTTATGTGTGAGTGTGTGCGCGCCCAAAGAGTGAAAGAGAGAAGAAACTCGAAAGAGTGCAAAACACTTTAAATGGATCTCTATATATTAGCAAACAGGGAAATGAATGAGCCAGCGTTATTGGTCACATTAAAGGTTGTTATTGTTTGGCTTGGCATTACCAGATTTCTGCGCACACAATCACAACAACGGCATATTTTATATATATGTTAACATAGCAAAATAACGACGTTCTTATAATTTCGTTTGTTTCGTTTGCCATTTTCTTCGTCTCATATTCTTGGATTAGCAGCAAACAAGTACGCAGAAATGTTAGCCCATTTGCATGGCATGTTATTTTAATATGTTCCACATGGAATCATCCGACAAAAGTCCCGGCCTTTGATTCCAACAAAGCCTGCAAGTGTGTGAAACAAACGAGAATTCGGAAACAACGAGAAATCTCTTCCTGTCATTAATTTCATTAGCGCATTCTTTGTTTTAATCTTACATCAATTCTATCATCCTTTTGATATTTTCTATGCTATGCTCACCAATTTGCTAAGCATTCATTTGACTCGGTTTTTGAAACAACAACAACAACAACGAGAAAAAAATTCTCTTTAACCTACTCTTCACTCGCGTCGATTATTCGATGGTAGTCACTTACTTGTGTGACTAATAATTCATTAAGAAAATTTGTACACACAGAAAAAATTACGACCAATCAACAATATGGTCAGCCAGATACGGTATTGAATCTTTTTATTCATTGCGAAAACAAAAATCTTACACCCGATAAACATGTTGGATTTTGATCCACATGACAACATATCAAGCGAGTTCAACTAGTGCGAATTAATATATATAGAGTTGAACTCAGGTTCTTGGTGTTGACGCAAACAACAATTGCAACACTGACCGACTCGTTCGATTGAGCAAAGTGTCTCAAGTTGAAAATTGCGCGGTTCATTCCACAAAATGCGTGAGCGTTGGCGCGGCTAGCCAACTAACCAAAAGTTGCAATTTGCTGTTGTGCTCATTTTCCTCCGTTTATTTCAATTGACAACTTCACAATGAATTCTTTTTTTTTATTTTGATGAAAAAATTCATATCGACAACAGAAAAAAAACAAGAACAGAAAACTAGCAAAACAATGCTAAAGTGTCCACATATTTTCCTATCCAAGATATAGATTATAATGACAAATACATGATCGGTCCCACTTGCGAATGTATGATCGTTTCAATATGACGATTTGTTTACGAACAAACCGCGCGCCATGAAACAACCGCACTGTCTAATAAATTAACATGTTGTATGATCGACTCGGCTCGGCTCGGTAATTTTTATTGGTTTTTCATGGATTCTGTAAGTGTTGTTGTTCAATTTCAATCGAGATGACTTTTTTCTATCTTTGATTTATTGCAACTCCGAATAGAATTCGGCGCTTGAATCTATTAAAAGAAAATTGTGTAAGGTTATTGTGGCATAAAACACCGACTACTACGCTCAAATAGCTCGGATGAAATCAAGTAACAAAAATAAAATCACTGCAAATGAATTCACACAAATTACTTGTTTGTAAATTTCTCTGTTTTCATTTGATTCGGAGCTATGTAAATGTTTTAAAAGCCACGAAAAACCAAATTACAAGAAAGAAAAAACGTTAAAAACACATACGCAACAACACACACTCAATCACATCTTTTCTTCTTCTTTATATTAAGCGATAAAGCTGAGAAAAATATCGAAGAAGACGCACACAAAGAAATGATCGTTATTTCTACTTTTACGTGCAGCGTCCTTAAGAACGACTTGTTGTGAGTAAGTCACACACATTCTGCACTGACCCCTCAACAATGTGTAGTTGCTGTTGTTGATGTACACTTTGATCACTTCTTCTTCGTTCGGCAGAGGAGACAACAACACACAGCAGAGAAGGGAAAAAAACTATACAAAATCCAGAAGAGAGTATTTAACTTACAATGTTTGCTAGTTCACTTACTGCTCAGACATACACTTTTTTACAATCCTGTCTCAACAAAGAATTCACATCAACTGAGCTCGGAAACGTGAAAGAAATCTGGCGAATGTGTGTGGTTTGCCATGTACGGTCGAAACAAATGCGTTCAGTCGCTCGGTTGTTTAAAAACGTTTCGTAATTTTCGTGTAGCAAGCCGTAACGTGTTGATTCGACCACAAATAGTACTATACACAATGAGGCAAACGTTATATACGCTGTTGTATGTACAGATAGTCGAACGAATTGTACGTGCTACGGCTGTGTTCAGACAAGTAAAAAGCACGCAATCGAAGCAAAACGTTGGAAAAATGAAACGAATAACGAGAAAGAAAAAAGTCAAACTGCTGAGAATACACCATACACAACAAGCATGCGGCTACCACTCAAACAAAAGACATCCATGTAAAGTGATTTGCCCTCGACGAACAGTGAACGCATGTGGTCGCGCGCAACGTCTATACCATACACATGTGAACATGTGTATGTTCGACAACGATAGCTTATACACTTTTGAGCCGCACACAGTTTATGTAGTAACACGTACGATATTCGCATACATACAAACGCTAGCGGTTAAAACAAAAACAAACTCGCAACGGCTTCTTTAACTTTCAGGTATTTGTGAGTGGAGAATGTACCATCAAACACAATCATTCCCAAATGAGAAACCTTTTAAACGCTGATTAATCATTCTTTTTTCCTTGAATCATCCATTCATGATGAATAAATCAGAAGCAATTTCTTTGTCAGCGTTGCTTTGAATTGCGAGTACCGAATATTGTTCCAGAAATATGGAAATGCCGTAGACAAATTTACGATGGATTAACGGTTGAAACCATTGTTATTTTAATGCTGGCTTTTGTGAAGTAGTTCACCAATACCACTACATTTGCCCATTTGCTTTTTGTCCGAGTCAATAATAGTCATACTTACCTAATGGTCTTGATAGATGCGTTTCGTAAATGTGTGATCTGAGAATTCGATGCGATGATTCGGTGCCGGATCCGATTTTATACCAAATGAAGAGAGTCAAATTAATAAATATCATTTTATTATATCTGTTCGAGTTATATTTTGGTTTTTTGTCACATTTTTTTTATTATTGCTTATCCTTCTGCTCAAATCATTTCAACTGGAACAATTTTATTTGTGTTTTCACGTTGGTAGAAAAATGGATCCTCGTATGTTTGTTAAATAGTTCTCTGGACCGAATCCAATTGAATTGAAGTGTGGTAAATTCGTCGTTTCCAAGACAAGCAAATTGGAAATTTGAAAAGAAAAACTTAGCAACAAGGAAGTCACTATTGCGCTGCTCGATATTAAACCAATACAAACCGAAAAATAAACCTGCTGTGTGAGAGACTCTGAGTGTGATGAATGAAAAAATTAAAAATTGATTAAAGCTCCTGTAAAATATTTCTTTCCATCTGGTTTGCGGATGATATGGTAAAAATTTTGTGAATTCACAACCGAAAATTAATTTAAATTAAATAATCAATAAATTAATTTGTTTTAAATACGCACATAAATTTGAAATTTTATTTGCAATTTTTTTTGCCTAGAAATTAAATTTGATGATAACATGAAATGAATGTGAACAATATCAAAAACAAGCGTTGAAATGTCGCTGAATCGGCTGAAATTGTTTTGTTTTGTGACGAGTCCTTATGCGTAACGTTTTTTAAAAAAATACAGTTGAAGCTATGGTTAGCAGCGTAATGTCTATTGTAATATTTACAATCATACGCACAGGGAAGAATGGTTGAGATTTTTGGTACAATTAATTTTTTTTCGTAGAAATAATCCAAAAGTATGATATCTAAGACAAAATTTATTTTCCTTCACACAAATTTTCTCTAAAGAAAATAAATTTGGTTTCAGATATCTCATATATATATTCAAGCTTAATTTTGGATTAAAAAATAAATCAATGGTAGCAGAAATTTCAACCATCCTCCCCTGTGTGTAGTGGGGGAGGTTTATTTGCTTTGTTTAAAAAATAAAATAGGTTTCATTTCATATGCTTTCTTTTCCTGTTTTATCTCTTTCAATTGGTTTTCCAGTTTCAATTTTTTCCTTATACAATATCATTTTAAAATAACTTCTTTTTCTTTCTTAACTCATCGTTTTTTTCTTCACTTGCTACTAATCGAATCACTTGTTGCTTTCACTATAGAAAAAATCTTTCAGTCCGTAATATCGCGATGCCAAAATTGCCTTTGATACCCTCCCAAACTTGTGTTTATTTTTTTTCCGTTTTATTTTTTGTTGCTCATTATTTCTTTTATTTGTTACAATTACATATCTTGTAAATGATCGCCGTAACGAACATTTTTAAATCACAAACTCTTGACTGTTTGATGCGATTAATTTTCGGCTTAAACGACTTCCATTGAATGCTGGCAGTTTTGGACGTTTCGCAAAACAAAAAAATTGAATGCAATAATAACAAATTGACAAATTCGAAAAACCGAAGAATTGAACGTTTTATTCATTCCGCAAAGAGGTTTTGGTTATGTTTTGCGAGTGTATACAAAATGTGTTTCTTTTTTAGTTCAGTACTCCACCAGTAACTTTATACAAAAAATATTGTACATTTTGCGATTACTTCATTGTATAGTATATAATTATGTAAAAAACAGGGGGATGTGGCTGCTCGAGTTTTTGATGTATTATAAAATGTGTGATTTCGCTAATTTAATTCTACTTTGGATCTATCTGTTTTGTTGTTGTTTGTTTGTTTTCATTTTAATAAAATTGCCTTAAATATGTGTTTTGTTTCAACTTTTTCTTCTGTTGCAATTCGTTTGTAATGCAATGTTTTATTTCCAGTATATCGGGTCAAGATGCATTTTCGTACATTTGTGATCTAAGAGTTTGATTCGATGATTCACTTTCGGTGCCGGATCCATTCGGTTTCGTTTGTTTGCTTCTTGATAATGGTGGTAATGGCGATGGTGGCGGCGGCGGCTATATTTTGTTGTTATTTAAATCATATTTTTCATTTTCCTTCTTCTAAAGATTAGGTTTACAAAATATCCTGTCAGGTTGAACGCACTTCAATGCACATCTGCAATGATTGTTGGCTTCTTGATTGAGTGAGTGTTAATGTGTTTGTGTTTGTTTGTTGCGGGTAAAAAATATGAGTGTATGGTTTTTTGAGGGAGGAGGTTCGCTTTGTATTGTTATTTATTTTATTTCGGTGCTGTATAACACGGTTTCGTTTTCTAGTTACCGAGAACGTGAACATCATCATCTTGTTCTTTTTCTCTTTGTCGAACTGCAACCGCCGTCTCCACAAGCAAGTACAGACATTTGAATTTGTCTTTGTCGTCGCGGATTACACCTAAAATTACACATAAGATTTAAGATATCGATTATTGAATTTGATTTGGCTTTGGGTTGTTGTTGTTGTAGTTGTTTTGTTTTTAATAATGATTTTTTTTTTTTTTTTTAAATACATTTTAATTAGTTGCATTTGTTGCGCTCTGAATTGAATGCTTGGCAACAGCAACGAAAAAAAAACAAAAATATCCCTATTGAAATGTAATCAGCTCATCTGCCTTGACTGTTTCAATGAACAATTTTAGCTTCAAGCCCGTATTATTGAGTGTTCGAAAAGAAGAGGAGTGAAATTTTAACGAGTGGATTCTTCTATCCGCTCACAATTTACTGCAAACTAGCTCAACGCAAATGCTTGCTACGATTTTCAACAAATTCATCATTAATCATCATCATCATCATCGTCATCGAATACAACAATCAAACCAAAAAAATTTATCGGAAACGGTCGCATCTGCATTTCACCGGCGTTATTTCTTTTTCGCATTTGTGTGACAAAACAAAATTTCAGAGTGTAATTTTTCATTTCAAATGTTTTTTTTTCTTTCAAATTCATTTTTGATGTAATTCAGGCAAAAGCGCACATACATTCATTTAGTGGTTTCGTTTGACTTGCTTAGTGGACGACGATTGCAATCTCAACGCTATTCTTTTTCTATTCTCTAAAACAGCCACCATTTTTACGGAATCTTAAATAATACAAAAAAAATATATTTATTTATTTAGAAATATTTTTGTTTAGAAAATTGTTGGATTATAAATATATTTGAGAAAAAAAAATTCGTGTTGCACAAAGGGTAAAAAGAAAAAAAATGAAAAAGGTGTAGGTGCAATTGTGTCATAAAATGTGTTATTGTATCAAGTTTTTTTTTTGAAGATTTGTACAATTATTTCTATGGTCTCTCTCTCTCTCTCTCTCTCTCTCTCTCTCTCTCTCTCTCTCTATTTTTGGTTGAAAATTGAAGTAAAAAGGAGAAAAATGTTCAACAAAAACCAAAGATAAGTTCGGCCAGTTAGTATAGAGGATTCTTTGAATATTAGTATTGGAAATATACAATTCTAGTGAGGTTTTTGATGTGAAAATTGGTGATACGGAAAAAAATGAAAAATATGCAATTAAGAAAATGAAAATTTGGAACAAATGAAGAAATGTTATGATAATTATCAAGAAATATAAATTATTAACAAAAAAAAATCAACTGCAACACAAATTGCAATTTTGTGTTTCACTGATTTTTCCTTTGGAGAGAAAGAAAAACGTCGGTGGTCAGTGTTGATACTATCTACAGCAGTTGATCAGTTACTACAAATGAAGATAAATTAAGGATAACGTATTTTTTTCATGTTGCACACAACGAAAAAGAAATAACAATGAATTAGATGCGACTGATTTGATAAATGACAAACAGGATTAAGGTTCGCAACTTTTCAGCGAACCAATTCTTCGATTCCCTTCATCATCGCTTCAGGGTTTTCATTCTAATGCCCATTCTTTTTGGTATCAAATGATAATTGCTTTTTTTAAAACTATATTTAACTATGATTACGCTAAAACCAATCAAAACTAAAACTAAATGGGGTCCATTTTACTTGGCTCCAATTGTTCTGGATTGATTTTTCAGCTGAGTGTGTAAATGAATGAATACTCGATTGAATGTTGGTGGTGGTGGTGGTGGTGGTGGTAGTGGTGGTAGTGGTATTATTGGTGGTTGTGTAGTGAACGTTGTTGCTGTTGTTGTTGTGGTCTCGAATATATCAATTAAATTTCAGTACAATGAATGCGTGTAAATTTGAATTTGTTCTCAACAATTACAATTCTGATTCCATTATATTTGTTTATCTATTTTAAATTTTAAATTTTATGTGTGTACAAATTGACGATTTTTTGTGATATTTTTCGTTTTTCATCATAATTCCTAAAAAAAGTATGTACAAAATAATAGCCAAATGTTTTTACAATTATTTTATGATTTTGTTTTGGTGTTGATTGATTGATTGAGAAAAGAAAACATATGAATTTGATAAATTTAATTTTCACTTCCTTTTTTACCGTAAACGCTTGGTTGTGCACAGCGCTCACACTTTAACTCGTACGATTTCGTTTTTTTTAGTTTATTTATTTTGCAAAATAAAATAAAAAAAAGTATTTATTTATAAATGTGTTAAAACGACAATATTATTTGATGTTTAGAAACTATAAACTTTTATTTAGCTCTTCTTAAGAATTAAAACAAGAATTACAAAGATCGAAATGACATAAATTTTTTTTATTTAAATTTAAAACGTTTTTTTTTGTTGTTGTGGTTGTTACGTTAATGTTGTTGTTTCTATTTTCGTTTATTTTATTCTAAAGTGTTCTTTTTTTTTCATTTTGGTGCCTTTCTCTTTTCGTTTCATTTTGTCAGTGGGAGAGTATGTAAATTCTCGTTTTCTGTGCTTGCTGTTTGTATATTTTGTTGTGGCTGGTAATCGCTTTTTGTTTGTCTGATATTTCTTTCTTCTTTTTTTTCTTCTCTCAAATCGTAAATCCATTTTGTGCATGAATGCAATTCGAAATTTGGAAATGAAAAGAAAAAAAAACGGAAAAGAAACAGAAAAAATGATTCTGGACACACACACACACAAACAAATAAAACAAAGGAATTCAATTTTCGACAAAAAAATCGGTTTGTTTTTATTTTATTTGACATTCTTTGTTCTCAACACAAAATAGCTAAAAAGCAAATAATTTTACATCGATTTCTGAAATTTTCTTCTTTTTTTTCGCTCTCGCTAACTGTTTCTTTTCTATGTTCAATTTGCAATATTGTATTTTTTTTCTCGTTTCATTTCCACTTACAATTTTTTTGTGGTAAACTCTAATGCAATTATTGGTTTCGGTATAATCAGTTTTTTGACTTACTTAGTCTATTTAAATAAACTCTCACTTGCTATTCGCATTTAAACTACTGTGGGGATCTTGAAATGATTTTTTTTTTCAAATTTCTTTTCATAATTCATTTTGCTTTGTTTGCTTGGTGTTAAATTTCGTTTATTTGTTTGTATGTGTGTGTGTGTGTGTGTGTGTGTGCTGAATTTCCGTTTTCACTCTAAGAGTTAAGCTGTTCATTACTTAGCGTAACAAATATTGCTGATTGTGCTAAAAATGGTTTGATGAAGAATTGTTTTTTTTTTGCTTGAAAAGTTTGATTAAAAGAGAATTTCAAAAAGTGGCAGCAATAAATTAAATAATACTTGAAATGGGAAATTGCAGAATTTGATTTGCATTTGATTTATTCGATTTTTTTTTGCTTGCTCATCAATTTCGTTTGTCCTCATCGTTTAAATGGCAAAATAGTTTGATTTGATTGGAGTGTGCGAAAGAGCACGGAATCGACACACAGAAAAATAAATGATTCATTTGGTTTTTAAAGCTGAAATATGTTTCAAGGCTGTCGTTTTCTAAATTTTTTTTTCCATTTGTGTTCTTTTTTTTCTCATTTTCTTTAAATTGAGAATTCTATCAATATGTAACAAAGCAAGTTCAAGAATTTTGTTGACGTCTAAATTTGATACGGGAGCTTCAAGAGAAGCCACAAAATAGATTTTCATTTTGATCCATCTTCAGAAAGCAACAAAATTACAATCATATACTTTTTTGAAAACAAAAAAAATTAGAAAGAAGAAATAAGTGAAACAAAAACCGCCTTAACCATCTCATCGAAAAAAAAAACTGATCATCATCGACCACATTCAGACTCTCGATCGATCAGACAAGTAAATAACCAGAAAATTGATTCAGTGACACAGTGAATTCATTGTTGTTGTGATTGTAGTGTTTTTAGTACCGCGCTTGATTTACGTTTAATGTTTAGAGCGAAAATGGAAACGAGCAAAGTTATTCAATCGTTCTGATCTCGAACTTTGATCGAGTGTGTGTTATTAACATTTATTTGTGTGGAGGTGAATTCAGTTATTATTAAAAACAGAAAGTTTAAGTGGTTGTTCTCTCTCTCATTTCTTTTTATAAACTAGGATGGGCACATCTTACGGACCAGCCAAGTTTTTTTTGTTTTTACTTTTCATCATTAATTTTTTGTTTCTTCATTAAACGTAATGCATATAATTTAACCGCTACAACTATTTATAAAAGTACAAATAATTTGAATGATGTTTTTATGTTCACTTTCGCATTTTTTTAAGCTACATTGTATGTGATTTGTTTTTTCTTTTTGTTTACTTTAGTTCTGATTCAAACTTTTAGAATTGAATTGCTCCTATTATTAAATTAACACAAAGAAAGAAGTATGCATTTGCACTTAAATTCATTGAATGTTGAATCTAATGTTTTGTGGTTTCAATTAAATGTTAAAAAAGAAAAAAAACGGAAAACAAGTGTTAATGATGACTCTTTTCATCAACTTGATAGGTATTTGAATGTTCTAAGTCAATAAAAAAAACAAAGATTAGATAAAAAAGACTTTACGATGATTTTCGGTTCGTTTCTTGTTGTCGCTGATGAGTTGGAATTACCGTGTTTGCGTTGCAGTTCGTCTGGTTAATTGTCATATTGATTCTGGTCTACGTACGAAGCGTACCTTCTTCACGTTATCTCACGTTTGTTTGTACCACCACCAACAGTGCGTATGATTTTTTGGGATTGTTTTTTTTTTCTCTTTATTTTCGCTCTCAATTTTTTTCAATTTCTTTGTTTTCTCATTCTGTCTTTTTCTATCCTAATGGAATCTAAAGGCTACAACATACACGCACATTTAATTCAATCTCGAATGGGTATGTTTGTTCTGCTCTGTGTTTGTGTGTGATTTGCTTGACATGTGTGTGTGTGTGTGTGTGTGAGCTTTTGTGTTGGGTTCGGGAAGTTATTTTTTTGCAAAATAATGTAGGTTCTATTCTGTGTGTGTAAATGCAGTTTACAGTTTATTTCTTTACTGTTTGGTTTTTCTTGTGTTTAATTTTGTGTTCGGAGATGCGTGGTCCTCGCTATTTTCTCTCTCTTTCTCTCCCTCTCTCTCCCTCTCACTTTCTAATTTACTCAATTTACACAATCCGAACGTTTTTGTAACGGTTTGCCTTTTGCATTGTTTTTATGCGTGTACGTCTGTGTGTATGTGTGAGCTTACTGTTTATAAAATTGAGTTTGGTATTTTGGTTTGTAACTGTTCGTTTCACAATTTTTCTTTTGTTTTGTTTTTCATTCATAATTCATTTATTGGCTACAATATGCGCGTGTTTACGGTATTTTTAGGCGATCATCCACATCATTTTTTCTAACAATTTTTATTGTTGTGTGGAATTCGGCTCATTTTTGGTGATGATGCCCATCCCAGAATTCAATTTCAATAGTTTCACTAAATAACAAATAAAACCGATTAGAAAACGTTTGTTTTAGAGAAAAAAGAAATGTATATGTAGGTAAATGTTGTTGTTGTTTTTTTGGTTGTTTTTGAAAATGGGTTAAATTATTTTACACAAAAAAAAGAGTAATAAATCGGCAAAAAAAATTATTCGGAAAAAAAGAAGAAAAAAATGAGAAAAAGAATATGCAATTGTCTAGATCAAGGTATATCTGAACTTACAATTATGATTAAAAATGCTCTACAAATGCTTTGTTGACTGACGACTGGTTGTTCAAAATGAAATGATCAAATGAAAATTTAAACAAGAAAAAACAAGAAATGGTAATGCAAGCAAAGGGGCTTCGTGTGTATGGACTGTGTGAAAATCTTGTTTGTACATATATTGATAGATTCTTTTCTCGTAGTTCGACGACGACGACGACGATGACGACGATGACGACGATGACGACGACTGTATTTTTTTCTCTGAACGCTACAATCTATAATTTTTTTTTGTATGCGTGACATGTTCATATGCCTGAATGTTCATCATCCATTTTATTTCGAAAGTATCGCCGCAAGTTTTTACATGTGCATCTGTGTGCTTTTCCAGACAAAGAAAAAAAAAACTTTTCCAGTTTCTTATTTTTCACCTCTAAGAGGGTATGAAACGCTCTCTATCTCATCATTATCATTCGATGGAATGATGCGAAAAGCGCAAGAAAAAAAACAATTACAAAGGAAATCGTTTGGATTGCCATTAGAAAGGGGGATTAAATCCGAGAGCACGAATCAGGTTGTAACTAATTTGGTGTGAGCGAAAGTTGCAGCAAACCACAAATCAAATATCGGTTGAACCGAGTCATTTTAGCCAGCAAATATTCTAAACGAGAGCACTTGACGATTCAGCGCAGTGACAGGCTTGAACGAATTTGAACACTCTTCGCATATCACTGTATTTGTGCAAAATGGTCTTATGAATTTGAGATGAATCTTGAGAAGGGTATGAAATGTCAAACATTTAATAAACTAGAAGCTAGTCGATCGTGAAAATGGCAAATTTACTGCATGAATTTCAACAAATTACTGCCGCGCAGAAAACTGACAAACAGGCTTCGAGTTGTGCTTGCTTTGTTATTTTTGTGTTTTTTGTTTGTTTTGGAAAAGACGCGATTTGAATGTCGCAGTTTAAAAAAAACAGTCAGCAAGTTGACCGACTCGACCGAAACCGGCCTTTCTTCAGAAATATTTTCTTCGCTTCTTTGCATTGCAATGCTTTTAGATGAACGAACAAACGGCAATTGTGTACACAACAAAAGAATGGACATTGTTTTCTATAACTGTCACCTGTTCGAAGTGCCACCGCCGTCGCTGAGACTGATCGGCGGGGCCGATCGACTCTAGTTTGCCTCTAGTTGTTTCATTTTTGTTTCACAAATCTAATTTTCTAATTCTCTGCTTCTCATCAAATATCTCAATGAAACTTGTTTTGAACTCAACTTACACCTACTAATTCCTTTTTTTTCTGAATTGTTTCTTTTATAGCATTTGTTTTGTATATGTATATATCCATTATCGGATAGATCAATTTTTGCTATGACTTACGCATAATTATGTTCCAATAGAATATTAAATTTTTTTTGTTTACCTTTAACAATATGTCCGCCCGGTGATGTTGTTGTTGTCGTTATCGTGGCTGTGCCCAACGATTTGTTGTTGTTGTTTTTTTGCCCGGTTGTCCTTACGATCTGCGCTTCGCCTAATTTCGTTTGGAATTTTGGCGTCGCGTTCGCCGGCACCACTTGAACACGCGACAAACCGATTGGAACTAAATTTGTTTTTGATTTTTTTTAAATGGGTTCGAATAAGAGGATAAATATTGGTGGTCGAATAAAATAGAAGAAATACAAAGACATAGAGAAACAAAGTCGAGAAAAATGGTAGTAGACACGGTCAATAAATCAATTGAACAAGAAAAATAAACGATCTTCAAAATAAATGATAGCAAATGTTCAATTTAGTATTGAGTTTGAGTATCTTAAAATGGGTATTAAGTTTTTTCATGGGGGTGAGGTGTAACATACCGATTTTTGTCTGTGTCGTTGGTAGTTTCTTTACAGTTTGTGCCGGAACTGTTGTGACCACTTTGGTATTGAGTGGGTGCGGCAGTTGTGGCAAATGAGCTAACTGTGGATGTGGCGCTGCGTTCCAATATTCTGTTGTCGTTACTGGACTTGTGGTCACCTCTTCGCTACTTTTTCGAACAATAACAAGAGAGAAAATATTCACGAAAACCAAATCAGTTAGTGTTCTACTCTATACTTTATCTTGTCATGATGCCTCATCTGACTGATTGCTTTTTCAATGACTGATTTTTTTTTCTTCGAAAAACTAACAAATTTTCCGATTCAACGCGATGTCTGCCAAATATCTCGTGACCATGATCTTATTCGTTCAGAAAATATTTAACTGACACCGGCTTCATCGATTACAAGATTAAAAGTAGTAAGTACCTGATCACTTCTTGCCAACCACTATTTGAGTCGACTTCTTCAGTTGGACTGGGACATGCTTCGTATTCGTTGGCGCTTTCATCTTCCGATCTAAATACATTTTATTATTGGTATTGCTTGGTGATCATCATTAACTGCCCGAGAGCAGAACGGATCGCACTTGTTGCAGTGCGCGACTATGAATGGATAAACCACTTACCTGTAAATGATGTTGTCTTCGAAATCGATTTCGGTGTCTGCTTCGGCTTTGACCAGCGTACCGTCAGGCATCTGAAGGTAATGGCCGCTTAATGTTACTGTGTTACCAGATTCATCGTGTTCGATAATTTCCTCATCTTCAACTTCTTCAGTGGCACCGACGATCTATATTGAGAGACGAAAACAACAAATTGTGCACAAACACAAACAAGAGAAAAAACCAATTAACAAAATCGAAAAACAAACTTCAATCATACATTTGTATTTACTTCATGGAAATATTAAAATTATTGTATTAATTCATCACACATACCACTTCTTCAACTGGATTACCAACTAGCTGATTCGATAAATTATTGACACTCGTGACGGATGTGTTTTGTTGTGCGGCTGCATTGGCCAGTTTTTTACCCCGTCGCGATATTGTGAAATGCATTGGATCGTTTCCTTCTCGTCGAATCATTTCGGGTAGAATTCGACGGCGTGCATTGATGAACCAATTGCATACTTGCAGCACCGTTAAATTGGCTTCATGTGACAAGTCTATTTTCTCCGCATCACTCGGATAGGCATTGTAACGATGCTCGTACAGCCATCGTTTCAGAATTTTCACCGAATGTGCTGGTAAATTTCCGCGTCGCTTACGTACTGTTTGTACTTGAGATGACGATGAGTTATTGATTTCTTCATCATCTGGGTCCGCGTATTCGATTTCTGTGTTGAAAAATTATAGAAAAAAATCGCTTGAATTAATTTCCATGTAATATTCGTCGTAAATTCATAGCAAGTGTTCAATCTACATGTGGAATTTGAATGAAACAATGGCCTGTTTGAGGGAAAAGTATGTTGGAAAAACGTACCCATCGTTGTGTGCCGCTGTAATTCACGTTCTGCTTCGGCTTCTTGTTCCGAACCCAGAGATTCTTCACTCGAGGAGTGAAATCGTTCGCGAGCTAAAAATAATAACAACAGAAAATGTTTGCTTGAGAAAAAAAATTGCCAACTTCGAAAATGTCTGCGAACAATAATTTTGATAAAATAAATGATGGACGTGTGCTAATCAATGTTTGGTTCCTAATTTTAAGTGCACAACTTCGTGTTTTCGTTTCAAGTCAAAGGTTTGTGATTGGAACGACAAATGTCACGGAATACTTGATTTGATGTAAATATCAACAAACCAAGTGTCAATGTGACTATCGAAGTTGTATTGTTTGGCCACAAAACTTCAAAACTCTTCCGAATTAAAATTGACAATTTGAATTTTGACATGAATCTCATCGCTTACGTCTAATAGACATTTGTTAAAACTTCATTTGCTGCTTTTCACGCGACAAATGTCAATGATGCGTTGATATATGCCAAAAACACATCAAGACAACGAACAATTTCCAAATTTAGCGAACAAAATTCCAATTCGTTGCGCGGAATATTCTTTTTTCTCCCAAACTCAAAACGTATGCAAACGCACCAAAGTATCTCGAATTCGCTAGTATAAATGGTGGACGATATTTCGGTACGATTCATACAATGTCTGACTGTACATATTATTAACAAGCTTGACGCTAGGTATTGTAGCGCCCTCTGGTGCCGCTGAATACCAAACCAGTCACCATCAATTGGTATGACATCAATGTGTGTTGCTGCTGTTACTACTACTACTACCACTACTACCACTACTGATGCCGCACAACAGCAACGCGTTTTGCGCGTTATTTTTTTCTTCTCTCATCACAAATACTCCCGCTTTGCTATGCATGGTGTATTGTATGCATGTAGAAAAAACGGCCACCATGTTGGATTGCTACTTTTAATGTGAAATTGAGTTTTGAATAATCGAAAAAATCCACAACAAATAACCATTACTCAATTGTGGCAATTGCATTTTGATGGCATTTTGAAGGATAGTAAATGTCTTCATATTTGGGCTATCATTATCTGGATTTTATTTCGTTGATGTCACTTTGACGTTCTATATGTCATCAACATGCCAAGTTACATTGAAGAGAAGAAAAAAATTGACTTTTCATGTGAACGACAGAAATAACAAAATAGACAGCTCTGTTTACTTTTATTTTCGCGCTCAAAACCAATAATCATGGAATTTTGTTAATTTTCAACATTTGTACGACTTTTTCCGTGGTTTGGTTCAGAAATTATTCGTGCGGAATGAAACTGTGAATGTCATGCCGATTCTAGTATAATATTTTCCAATATTCTATGTGGCCAGCAAAGCCTTGCTTGATACAACGCTCTGTGTGTGTTGCTTCATACGTAAAAGACACAGAAAATGACGCCATTTTGTTTTGAAAATCCAAACCAAATTGAAAGCCAATGAGGAAACTTTTTCTCGTTTAACTCAAATTTTTATATTGACAAAAAATCAAGTTTTTTTTCTTCTTCTGTTTATGCAACGAAATAAATTCTATCTTTCGAAATAATTTGAAAAAATAAATAAATAAATCGGTTTCTTCATGATAAATTGAGTAGATCGATTTTGAAATTGTTCAGCCCGAAAAAATAGAATAAAAATAAAAATAAAACAAAATTCATTTAACCACCAAGCTGAAACTTAAATTTTCTTCACGTTAATAATCCCATACTCTCGCATATATACATATATATTGGCAGTCAGAGAAAATTTCAAATGGAATGGTCGTCGAATCAGAAAAAAAAATGCTTGCTTTAGCTTTGGTTTCACACATCCATCGAAAAATAAAATTCGGGAAAATCAGGAAAACAGCAACATAAATGACGTAATGACATATTTTCAAGCGCAAATGTCTATCCACCATCGAATCGTATTTGAAATATTACAAAAGTCATACAAAATCTGTCGCTGTCTCTTTATGCCAAACGACAAGTAAAATGTCAAAAGACGACAAATTGCATGAGAAAAAAACATACTCGAAAAATATCCATTAACTTGTCAAAATCTATTGTAATAATAATATTTTGAACGGACACATACCTTCTTGTGTAAGTAGTTGCGTTTGAAAATTTGCTTCCAATTGCATATCACGCTCATCCATTTTTTTATGTGGATTTCTATCTCGATTTGATATATATGTATTTTTTTTTGTTTCCCGTAAGTTTATAACAATTTATATTCAATGTGAAGTAATCAGTTCTTGTCGTTTTTAGGTTGTAGTTGTTGTATTTGTTGTTGTTGTATTTGTTGTTTTTGTAAATGGCAGATTGAAGAAAAATATACGTTCGCCTTCACAACAAGCTAACTCCAAATAAAGTGGGTTTTCATATAATGGTAGCAACGAGGCGACACTAGCAAACGATGCGAAGACGCAATACAACGAACGGATTCACTAACACAACCATACGCATGAAATCAATATGGGCGACGATGTAGCTCAGCTACTGAGCGGTAGAATCTACAGCAAACCGACAATATGACCGATTTCTCTTTGCTGCGAAATAATGCTCACCTATTTCTTATTATTCGTTCGGTTTTCAAACGAAAAGTCTACAAATATTTCTACCACTTATGTTCAAAGGGGTTCGAATGTTCAAATAATGCGCTTTAGACTTTAGGTCAATCAATGAATTTGAAGTTTGAAACTGGTGTAACACGAATGACGGATTGTAGCATCAAAACTGACTTTTAATGGATAAGAATGTCAACAGCGTCAAAATCAAAACTCGGTCTCTATAACATGTTCATTATTTTCACATTTCCAATTTCTACACACTGAAACAACGTTTTGCCGATAAATCAACAACGAAAACTATCTGTTTAAACGAAAATAATTCGCGCTCAACCGCAACAATGGATGAAAGTGCGTTTTTTGTCTCTGTCGGTGTTGTGAATATGTACGGGGAACAAATGCCGTCTCTTCACTGAATGCACCAAAGCAATGTAGGCTTCCAAAATGGATTCCGAATTACATTTAATTTCACAAAAAAAACAGTAAATGAAACTATTCACCGATTCGAAATGACGGTATTTGACACCTTGATTTCTGATTTATCAATTATTCAAACGTTTTGCACTGAACTCAACACCGCTTTATCGAATGAAATATTTTATGGATATGATCAAACACAAGAAATTGTTAGTTAATTTGTTAGAAGCTTGCACAATATCTGACAGCTGTCAATCCTCTTCTGTTTCTGACATTCAAGCAAAAAAAAGAAGACACCTCTCTTGTTTGCCATCAAATACTTATAAAATCATCATGAATACGGCAAGCGAGGCATAGGAAATACGTTTTATACATATATACACACATACACACATGCGCATATGAACACGCATAGACACAATGTGGAACCCGCCAATTCAACTACATTGAAACAACATAGGGAACATTTGAATTCTGTACATATGTATACGCGACTATAGTCATGTATGTATCGCTTTTAAATGTAGTGGTGCCAAGAGTGAGTCTATAAAAAGTTACACAGGATGACCAACAAGTCTTGAACAGAAGCGAATATCAAAGCAGTAATCATTTTTTCCATTTATCGAAAAGAAAGTGGAATCTCGTCGAAAATTTATTATAATTAGATTAGGCAGTAGCTGAGTATGGGAAGAACAAAACCTAATTTAACTGTTATTTTCCCTTGTTTTTGTGATCGAGATGAAATACTTTATGTTGAGTGAATCAGAACAGCCCTGTAATTCAGAAATTGTGTAAAATGGATTGAGTGGATGCATCAATCTGACGTTCAGATTTTGTACTGCCATTCTTTTCCAAACGCACGCACACACATATTCGTTGGTTGCATCGTAGTGTGCTCGGCTTTAAGCTAAAAGCCGAAATCGGTGCCCCTCCATCCAACAGAGTCATTGGTTTTGAGCGATTCAAACGTATACATTCTTCTGTTGAAGAAAACGCAAGAAATCAAATGGTTGACGTTCCAAAATTAGATCACATCATTGCAACCAAATGATTGGCTTGAAAAAGTACTACGACTAAAAATACATTTGACTGCAATGCACCGGCCAATACGTTGATGGTTTACCCAGTTAAAATCGTATCCATTTATTCATCAAATTTATTTGGTATTTAGATTTGTTTTGACAACACACACACATTTCAGTGGCATCCAAAGATTGCTTTGAGATTTCTACACCAACTCAATCGAATAAAAATGTATTCGATACAAAGGTGATTGCACTCGAAGACAACAAAAACAAAGCTATATATGGGAGAGCCGTAATGCCACCGCCGACACCATCACCACACATTGCAGTGTATTGTATCATCAACTATCTGGTCGACAAATGCAATACTGTTTTATATGATTTGTTATGCACACAGCATACAATTTATGTTCGATGCAATCGAAACAAGTGGCATTACATTTTCATGTACGTGTCTTGAGCAAAATGTCAAACAACAACGTCAATTTTTTATCGACTGGAAGCGACAACGACGGCGCGGCCACGGCGACAACGACGACAACAAAAGTTGCAATATTGCAAAATGCGACCGATGTCACCGTTCGCAAGGGATAGATTTGAAACAATCGGAAACGACATGAAGTGATGCTCATTCTGTTGTACTTGTTTGTTGTCGGTGTCATTTTGCGTCATAATTTGGTTGTCTGATCTTCAGCCTGTGAGCGTTCCTACAATATACTCCATACCTGACAAATTTAATCAGAGTTGTCAATGCATTTATATAAATACACGACGGTCTATTGAATATACGTGGATGCACTTATTTCATTTCGTTTGAATGATTTTCATTTAGTTTAGAAAACTTAAACCATCAATTCTTCGATGAATTTACCATTGGCCACACTAAAGTGAAATATTTCAAAACAATGTTTTTTTTTGGATATGAGCATTTTACGTGGAATTTTCATTTGTTCAGAGACAAATCAGCGTTTTTATTGTGAAGATTTGAATAATTAGAACAAATCAAATAAGAATATTGGTTTGTCGATATATTTACGAAAACAAGTTCTCAATTTTTTCCATTTCCACATCAAATGATTAAACCATTTCCTCCACACAGAATAAGACGGCAACGACGACAAAAACAACAACAACACCAAATATATAAATGCATTCAGTTAGATATTTGAAAGCACCTACACTGTGCGACATATATTATAAGTTTTCTCAAGACTTGAGACCCGTTTGTTTGTTAGCAAAAAAAAAGATTCCGAAAGTTTCCTTGATTTTCTATACAAATCATCTCCTCTATCACCAAACCAAGTGGTTTCCCTTTTGGGGATTCCGAAAAAATATATATATTTATGTCGCACAGTGCTATTGTCGGTGATAGCTTAAGATCATTTCCCTTCGGCTTTCTACAATCGAAATGGAATCGTGTGAGTTGGCGAAATGGAATATTGATGTCGATCGAAAATAATGTGCTCTTGCATGTACGCGTTATACACAATTGGAACCACCAACTCAAATAAACGAGAAAAACAACATATTTGATATTGTGAAAAATTTATCGCAACGTTTTTTTTGCATAGTATGGATGCCGAATAACGACGTAGACACAAGCAAACTTCTCAAAGCGAGATATTGCCATCCAGTTAATTGAATGCATTACCCAATTTTTGCATGCAATGTCAATCAATATAGTGTCGATAAAGAACTTTGCACAATCAATGAAATTCGACCTCTTAATTGCATTGTGCTGCCGCTATACAATAGCGTAATTTAAATATTCGATTACACACAGAGGAATTCCGCAAAACTTACCTGAGTCTGGTTCAAGTTTGATGATAGTGTCCATGTTGTAGATTTCTACACACTTTTTTGTTCACCGAATACTATTTTGTCTTTTCACTTTGATTCAATCTGAAATATACGCTACAAGATGCAAATGACGTTGGCTTGCTTTCACGGCTTGCATGAAAACAACTGCACATTTAACAACAAATATCGTAAAATCGACTACAGTCACTCGAAATGGCTTCGAATTCAAATCACTCGTGTCAAGCGAAAAAAAAACACTTTTGATAAACTATAAAGCAATATTCTTCACTTCACAAACAGTAAATTTCGCAATTATTTCACTTACTTATTCGCCACTAAATAAATTTTTGGCATACTTTTTCGACCGTGTTTCATTTATTGAACGTCTATTGGCTTTGGAAAACTTTATAGAATAATATGTCAGTCGAAAAACGTCAAGTCAATTTGAGGATGTTTGTGCTTGGATGCTCGATGGATGCGTTCAATTCAACTGTACAATAAATGTCATCGGCATAGGACGCATGCAAATTATATTTTGTTGGACTTTTCTTAGCAAATTTTATTGTTTACTACAGAATAAAGAGAAATTCACACTTAAACATCATTTATTACTTCTATTCAATTGTTGCAATCATTTTATTTTTGACAAATCAATTTTTTTCTCCTCTTTCAATTTATTGCTAGATCTATAAAACTTAACAACTAGATTTCTGTATTGCATTGCAGCGCTAAAATTTAAATTCGAATCGTGATCCGGTTACTTTGCTCACCGGAGTTTTATTTGAAGGCTTTGGTTTCTTTTTAAGAAGAAGATTTAATAATTTTTGATTCTGTGTATTGGATACAGGTGTGCCCAGTCTCAAACTCGTGATCATTACTTCGGAGCATGCTCTCAAATCGTCACGCCAATCTGTAAAAAAATCATTTTCTTTTATTCAACAGAAGATATAATTTTGATTTTATAATGAATAAGATATGATAACATCATGTGCATGATGCGAATGATCATTTCGGCAATATGTTCACTTATCCACTTACAATGATAATCAAAAAGAGCGGTCAAACAAACGCCAACTTCCCTTATCATCTTTGCAGCGAGACACTGTTCAATTAGTCTGTGTATGGCATCGATATTGTGTTGCTGTCAATTAGAAATCAGAATGTTTTATTCATTAGAAACCATGCATAAGACAATTACTTTGAAAGCCGCCACTTTGACACTGGAACTCACCTGCAATAAAGTCAACGCAATCCAACCAATGTCCTTCGAAACAGTCATCCGAATCACTTCATGCGCTGAGAAAATTTCCTCGGCTCTTTGATGACATCGGAATAATTCACTGAAAAAACAGTCACTCCACACATAAGTGATAAGAATCGGATCTTTATATTTCTCATAAACTTTTATAGTGTTGGTGATGACTTTGTCAAGTATAGGTTCGTCGTGATTTTTGACCGCATCATAGATGATTTGTCGATAGTTTCGTAGAATAAGGCTTTTGGCATTTTGATTTGTCGTACTGAAAATCGTATTCAATGTATATAATGCATCATCAAATCGTTCCAATTTCCATAGATATTGTGATAAGAATGGAGCAAACTCCATATTTTTGGCATAAAAAGCCAAATTCTTCTCCTGACACACGTCAATCAAGTTCGTAATTGTTTCCATTGAATTTTTACTGTCGTCACACAAATGGCAAAGTACCCGTAAAATCATTGATTCCGATGGCAGTTGTTTTGTTGCTAAAATTTGTTGAACTATCTCGTCGAAAGTTTTCCGATCACTGCAATTGATGCTGACTATCAAACAATTGTCGATTTCATCTTGAGTCCAAGCCTCAATATTCAGCGAAGTCTTTTCGGATTTCGTAGTCATTTGTGTTTCCAATGCCATTTTTTTCAGGTGCTGCAAACGGTTATTTTCTGTAGCTGATGAAACAATCGATGGTGATTTGCTGGCCGTAGGATTTTTTTTTGATAGAATATGTTGTGTGGTAAATATGTCCAAAACATCAATATTTGTAGATTTACAGTGGACGAGACCACAAGTTATTGGCTTTATTGTTGGAGATTTCAATTCGAATCGAAACCAGCTGTGATGAAATGCGGTCGCTAAAGATGATAAAGCACCACATCTCACAACATTTAGTGTGGTCATGTTTTTCTTTAAATTTTACCTAAATGTTGTAATAAATTCTATTAGTCTATAAGATTGTTGTTATACCATACAGAAGTCAAAGTCAAACCACTAATCCAAAATCGACATTTCACTCTCCTTCACAATCTTTTGTTTTTGTTTTTATATCCATTGGTATTGAAAATAGACGACGATCCAAAAGTCAAATATAAAACTTTGACATTCAATATGTCGTACTCAAGTATAGAAATACTTCGTTTAAGTAAGGCTTTTGTATTCATTTAAATCAAATGTGACTTTTCTTCTTGTGATTCTCGAATAAATTTCAATGGTTAAAAAAAGGTTTTATTTAAAACATAAAATTAAGTTGTATTTATTTAAATAAGTTAACGATGTCGAAATAATGCCAATTCACTGAACTCAAACCCGTTCGTTCAGTCCGGTCATGTTTTCATACATTTCCCAAAGCCATTCGGCCATTTCATCGTCCTTGGCCGATTCACTTTCATTCACAATGCGACAATCGGAAAAATACTTTGCACTGACTTGTTCCAGTTCTGGATCGACCGCCAAAGCGATGGTGCTTTGTGCACCTGACCTGGCGCTACAAAAAATGCATTCAAATAAAAATCGAATTAGTTAAATGATTGAATATACATTATTATTATTCTTACGTTTTCATAAACAAAAACAACGGTGCTATGAATACGTCCATAAGAGGTATATAGCGTCGAACAGCCCCGACCGTACGTATTATGCCTGGATGCAATGAATTCGATGTTACTCCAGTGGTCAAAAGTCGCTTCGCCAGCGCTCGTGAGAAAAGTATTCTGGCTAGCTTGCTTTGAAAGTCGACGACGATGATGACAACGACAAAAACCAAAGAGACATGAATGAGTAAAATATGTTTAACGGAAATTATACACATTGATATGACAAGGACATTTCGTTTGATTGTCACTCACTCGTGTGCAAAAGACCGAACCGAAGAAAGAGAAGCCAAGTCACATGGAATGAAAACCACATTACTATTTCCTGTTGCGCGAATAATCACTTGACGAGCTTCTTCGGCTCGTTTCTGGTCTCGACATGCCATATAAATTTTTGCTCCTCGTCTAGCCAAATCGATGGCAACCTCTTTACCAATGCCAGCATTACATCCCGTGATGATAACGATTTTCCCAACCATGCGAACATTCGTCTTCTCAAACTGACCGCCTTGCGCATACCAACTAATCTTAAAACCAACATAATTAATAAAATGATGATCACTGAATGCGATTTGGCAAACAATATTTACCGAATCAACCATAAAATCAAAGCAATGATTGCACCTATTCCAACGGAAATGCCCACCCACATGAGCACTTGTCCCAATGTCATGTTTTCGGATGCTTCTCTCTCACTCACTCACTCAGTCAATCACTCAGTCACTCAGTCACTCTCTATCACTCACATCAAGTTGCAGAGTCGGAAGCCAAACACACCATTCCATTTGATGAATTAACTATAACTGATGGAGAAATCTGAAATATAAATCACCTTTCTCACTGATATATTTAGCTCTTCACAAACCCGAGCCACGACCAGCACAAATCGTCACATTACCACGTGCCGTGATCGATTAAATTCATTCCGTTGGACTGGATTGGATTGCTTTTCCATTGATTTATAATGACGATATGACTGAAACGATCCATTTTGCATTTTTTCCCACACACACATACGTCGAATATCCCTTTGACAAAAACTAATGAAGAACTGATATGAATCCATATTAGATACTACATTCGTATGGAAACCGAATAATACGAAAACGGTCAGCGATAATATCAATTCGCCTGATGGAAACAATTTTCAAATAGAGTTTGGTCTATTTTTGGCGTTGTAGACAACTCACCTATACGACAATTCAATCGGAGCACATCCAATCGAGTATGCGATGAATAATTGATTTCCCACTACATAATAATTTGTGACGCGATGGTTCAAACGATTTTGAATCTTGGCGCTTCTCGGATGGATGGAACGAATGAATATTGTGTGCCCTTGACAGAAATAATTTCGGCCTTAACATCATTGTAATTGAACCTCAATTACCAAGTTTTCAAAAAACAAAAAAATAACGAACAAAGTCGCGTAGTTTGAAAATGTCGCGTCATTGTTGTGCTACTATTAACAAACGAACTCGAATAAATAATTCAAAATATCTTTTCGCTCTCGCTTCCGATCATGTTCAATTTCAATTTATTTTGAGTCATCAAAATCGTTGTCGATGAAATAATTGAGGGGAAAAAAATCGAAATCGAAAGTTCCAGACCATTCTGTGCTGTCTCATTGTAATAAATGAAACAAACGATTTTTTACGAGCCAATTTATTTTAACTCTTAGCAAATGAATTTCAGCAATGCCACGATTTTTTCTATGCTTAATATCCAGTGATTTGAACACAACTACGTAATTGTGTAATTGCCAGTTGTACTTGATGAATTATTGTTTAAAATGATAACATCTGGGCATGGGTCATGGTTTTCATAAAAGTATTCATACAAATTGAATGCTTACTTTGTTTTTTCTACAATCACCCATTTCTATCGCTATGATAAGGCTGCTATCGCTGTGGTTGTTGTAAATCTGAAAGACGGAAAAAAAGCCATTCAAACATCGTGTACATTTAGTAGTCATTTACTGGCATCGCATGAAGACGTTCATAACCGAGTAAGTGTATTTATTTAATTTTCATTCGTATGCAGTGCATGCATAAGTGTTTTTAATTTTCCCTTGCTAAATACAGACACTGCTCGTTGTTTCATTCATTTTTCGAAATGTAGGTGTACTTTTTGTTTACAAATTCGTAATTTTCTATCGTGATTCCTATACGGAAGAATGAATTTTGGCGTATACGCATTGACCAGATTCCTAAGAAAGAAAACAAAAGCGAAGAAATAAACGCAAGACGTATCATACATACGATCAAGAAGCATTCCGTTGGCCAACTACGAATAGAAATTATCGGAATCAGTGCACTGTTTCCACACCATTGTGATTCAGAACATGTAAAATGATTGTAAATGGAGTATCAAATTTATAAACCACACTTCGTGGTGCATTAATTTTGATGGATGATATTGCTATGTGAGAAAATGATTTGATAACGTACACCAACGAACATACGACAAGGGAAAGAGTGAGTGAGTAATGCAAGCATGATGAATTTCTTAGTTTGAGTATGTTTACATTCGTTATTGCTTTCCACATTGGACATTTACTCATTTCGTGTATTGTTAATAGTTTCGTACGAATATTTGTTCCGTTCGGTGAAAGTGAGTATGGTAAACGCATCGTCGCTAACAAGCAATGTTTACAAATATTAAATTAAACGTAATTTCTCGATGGCCGTCTAAAATGGACGAACCACAAATAGTTTGAGCATTTGTCTTGTTGAGAGCTGTTTTGCTTTAGAAGTGCGCATACTAAAACTGATTGCTTATTCATATTTGTTTTTTTTTTCTCTCAATTTCATAAGACAAAAATTAGCAGTAAAATGAGTGAAATTTTTGGAGTTTGTGCAGTTGCAGCCGTCGTTGCGGTACCAACACTCTATTTGGTACAGCGCTGGGCTCAGGGCGGTCAATTCAAGAAGGATGATGTGCGTATTGACGGAAAAGTGGTTGTCATTACCGGAGCAAATACTGGAATTGGAAGAGAAACCGCTTTGGATTTGGCCAAACGCGGGGGACGCGTGTACTTAGCTTGTCGTGACCTAACAAAGGGTAATATTCACTAAGTGGCAATTTGTAGTTTCGACGTAAAATGATAATTTGATTATTCGATAATTTCGATGACAGCTGACACAGCGAGAATGGAGATCATTCATCAGTCGGGAAACAAAAGTGTGTTCACGAAGCATCTAGACTTGACATCATTCGAATCAATTCGGAAATTTGTCGATGAGTAAGTCATAATATCGATTTGTATCAAATGTAAAACTTTCAATACATTTATCACATTTGTTTGTTGTTTCTTCTACTAAATAGATTTAAAAAGTGCGAGTCGAAATTGCATATTTTAATCAATAATGCAGGAGTAATGGCGATCCCAAATCGACAAACCACAAAAGATGGTCTCGAAATGCAAATTGGAACCAATCATTTCGGTCATTTTCTGCTCACAGTTCTGCTATTGGACACAATCAAGGCTAGTGCACCAGCACGTATCATCAATGTTTCGAGTCTTGCACATAAATTCGGTAAAATCCACCGTGATGATTTGCAATTGGAAAAATCGTACAGCAGATGGGGTTCATATGGGCAAAGTAAACTGGCCAATATTCTTTTCACTCGTCAACTAGCTAAGCGTTTACAGGGAACAAATGTGACGGTTAACGCATTGCACCCGGGGGCAGTCGGTAACGTATTTTGTGAGACACATTATAAATATTGCGATTTAATTTTTGTATTTTTTTTATTGTTTAGCTACGGAGCTAGGGCGTCATTTAGGGATATTGCACTATTTGGCGTTACCAATGCAATCTTTTGTGAAAACACCAAAAAGTGGCGCTCAAACTTCCATTATGTTGGCGGTTGATCCAGACTTGGATGAGGTGAGCGGCAAATATTTTGTCGACTGTGCTGTAGCTGCTGAATCGAAGGAAGCTCAATGCGACGATACAGCCGAATGGCTGTGGAAAACTAGCAAAGAAATTACAAAACTAAAAGCAAACTAGAAAAAAAATGCTCAATCGTATTGTAATTTAATGGAATTAAATTGACAATTTATTTTTTTAACAACATTATATTCACTGAAAGCCAAACATGAAAAATTTCATATTCGTAGCAATCGCAATGTTTTTATTTTTTTGGATTTCTGTCAGTCTTCGCTGTGGCGAATTGAATAAACTGTGTGTATGTATGCATGTATATGTGTGTGTTATTATGACAGCTGACGTTTTTAATCCAAAGCATACCAAACTTCAATGTTTGCTCCGTAACGATAGTTCAGCTCTGAATAAAAAAAAATTGTAAAATGTAAGTATATTTTATTCAAATTTGTGAAGGAAAGCAAAAAAAAATTGCCACTGTGATTCTTCTTCAACAGCATGGACGGAATTGAGATAAAACAAGAAATTAAAGAAGAAATTCAAGACGATTATTACCATACTCGCGAAAATGAAGAAGATTTCAATGAATCAATGCTGTTGGAAGTGATTAAATATGAAGACGATGACGAGGATTTCGATAAATATGAAGAGCAACGCTATCAAGACGAACGTTCAAGCCATTTCAAAGTGTATTGTGCAGAGAATCCAGAAAAAGTTTTTGTCAATGGAGAGCCCGAAATATATATTCCCACCGTTCAGCCAACAAATTACAAGGAAAGCAATTCAGATCCACTATACATTACACCTGAACCAACAATCACAACAACCAGCGCTTCGATAGCTCCTGTCATACACAATACACAATTACCCACCGCAAAACGTGAAGAATTCAAAAAGTTTCGAGTGGTTCGTGCCGTAAAAGATATGAAGAGCGATTTAAATCTAAAAGTAAAAGTTCCGCCCGTAAAGGATCTGGTTCAGAAGACATATTCGAAGAAACACAAGGAATTGCAACACCCGTGCACAATCTGCAGAAGAATCTTCTCGTCTGTCCGTCTATTACGTGAACACGAACGCAGTTGTTTCAAATGTAAACAATGCAATCTAATAGTAGCAAGCATGTCCCATTTGGTAAATCACATGAAAAAGTGCCGTCGAAAACGGAAGGATGTACTTGCAAATGCATCGTCAAAACAACATCCCAGAAACAGCCATGTGCCGGACAGATCTTGTAATATCTGCTCCTCAACATTCCAATCGGTATTCGAGTTGGAAGAGCATCAGCGACGAAATCACTTGACACCAAATGCATACGCTTGCCACATCTGCGATAAAAAATTCGATTCCGAATCCCAAGCTCATATTCACATCTCCTCATCTCATTGATAGAAGTACATTTTAATTCTGATTATTATTTTAAACGATATTGTAAGATGAATGATTTCCTATTAAAACTTTGTCAGAAAAGAAATCTATTGTTTACCTATTATTTCATTTCCTGAAATGCGGACGAAATTAATGTGCATGTTTGACAAAGTTTTTCAAAACGGACTTTCGGTTTAAAGCTTGATCCGACGGTTGAAACTTCGGCGAGCCCGTTATTTTTCGCCAGATGACGCTCAATGTTTCAAAACCGACTTTTCTTTCATACACTCACCGGAGATCTGAACCTGAGTTTTAATTTACTCTCGTTAAAATTCTTGACCGAAAAAAAGAAGAATTTACTGCACAAGTTCCATTTTGCATTATAAGAGCCAAATACCTTTATGCAACGAAAAATTTATACGAAATTTTCTAATGAAAACCGTGTTGAATCCAACCAAAGTAATGATAGGAAGGTACAAGTCGGAATTGAATGTGCGTTACTAATTCGGCACTTGGTTAAATACATAATTTGCGTTTAATCAGTCTTAGAAATTGCAATAACTGCCAACGTACGAATTGTTTTGAGCGTTTGCCATAATTAATTCTTAGTTTCCGAACGGCAAAACTTGCAATCGTTTCGACTGGCTCAACGTATTCCAAATAACTAATTGCAAGCAGCAAAAAGCAAAAGCAATGCCGAATATCAACGTATCGTATGAAAAAAGTAACTCGTTTTATGTTGCGGCAAAAAAAGCAACAAAATATGCAAATGCTTTTTTTTTCTTCGCTGTTTGCACTGAAATTCTCTTTCTCGCTCACGTATCGTACCATCGCGCCATGAAAATAAATAACAAATGCTATTTAGAATTTAGAATACGATGTGTTTGCAATGGTTGTTGCATGTTACTGAAAATAAATAAAATTTAATGGAATAAAATAAGGAGAAAAAATGTGAAAAAAATGCATATTAACAAAGAAGAATTAAACAACAACAACAACGACGACAACAGCAGCAGCAGTAGAAGCAGAACAAGCAGTAGAAAAAAAATTGCTTTGAATATATTAAAAGCGAAGCGAGTATAAGGCGCATATAGTAATAGTATCAACCATTTTTTCCACAAATCGGCCAAAAAGGCGAATGCACAGCTAAGTCGACCGTTTCAAGCTGAATAGAAACAGAAAAGAAAAGAAAAGAAGAGGAAAAAAATTATAAGCCAACACATCAAAGGAACGAGTGAGAAAGCAAGCAATCTAACGTGGGAGAGCAAAACTGTGCAGCGTATTTTACATTTGTGGTCAGAGAGTGAGTATTTTGGTGACATTCAGTTATAGTAGTATGTATAATTTGTCTGTCAATTCACCAAACAAAAAGCAATTTCAATCACATAAAACTGTCATTCACATGTGAAATAGGTGGATTGGAAATGAAAGAGGCGTACGTATTGCGTGGAGATTCAAAGAAACGGACAACGCACAACCATTTGAATCAATAGTAAGAAACGAATTAAAAATTCAAAACAATATCACATATTGTTTAAATATGCTTGGTTAGGTAAGCTAAAATACGGGAATGAGCCTACGATCGTCACCGCCACCACCCTCACTGCCGTTTGATCTGTCATATTTCTTTTCTTTTTTCCTGAAGGGGACATAATGGAATTTGTATGGTCTTTTTGCCAAAACCAGTCAACACAGTGTGCAATGTGCATTTAGTTTTCATGGCTGCAACCATTGGCAAATGTTCGCCTGGCAAAATATCTTGCAAAAACAGACAACTGACATCGCATGGTAACTTTTTTTTTTTAATTTCAAACCAAACTATAAAAATATATGGAAAAAATGCGAAAAAAATCCAATGAACAGCTGTTACATCGCATAAACGACGTAAAAAAAATATGGAACGCACTTTAGAATAATGCTCGCTTTTTTCGGTATGGAATTTCCAGTGTATTTGTGGATAAACCCACGAACTTGAAATCGTCTAATTGAATATGTTTAAAATGGAAAAAATGGAACATTCGCAAATATATGATCAGTTTCAAATTCATTTGGGCTAGCAATCATTTCGTTTTTTTCTGTTGAGAAAAAAGGCCCTACCCGATATGATGCACATTTTCTGCATTGTCAAAAACACATCGGTCCTTTGCCTCAACTAACAATGGTCATTTTGGAGTTTATTTCTCATATTCGTCTGAACGAAGTCAGTTTGATGATGGCTGATGTAAGGATGATATTTTTTTTCTCTTTCGTTGCCTGTACACCATCGTTCTCTATAAACGATGCGAGTTTCCGTTCAAGCGTCTTTAAAAATATTTTGCCTTCTACTGTGTTCATACTGTGTTCGTCTTTGCCATATATTCCATTCGTCGTCGTCGTCGTTCGTTTTACAAGCAGACCAAATAATATTGTGTATAGCATCAAAGATACATACCGTTGCATACACAACGCTCTTTTCAACTCTCTCAGACTCACATTCTCACATACAGCTAAAACGTTGCATTAGAATCACATACGATCCCAGTTGAAGCAACGATGGTATTGTTGTTTCCTCTAATCGTGCATCTCTTTTTCACCCATTCGTCCATCGATACGTTCGTGTCCATCCGTTCATCCATATATGAATAAGTATATGAATATACATATATATTGTATGTGTATAAGTCGGTTGCAGCCTTCAGTTTGCTGCATTTCTATCATCGACTATGCGATACACGATGAATGTGGAAAAATTGCGTGTTCCACGTGACTACATTTATACGTTTTTAGAATATACATATGTATATATAAGTTTTTTTTTCGCTGTCGTTTGTATGGTACGAAATAGCATGCATTCAATCCACAATTTCAGCATGAACGAAAAGAAGGAAAAAAACTTGAACAAAGCAGAGAAGAGAAGAGAAAAAAACGCACTCGCACAACTCTACACTCATTTTCTACAACACATATACTATACACACTCAAGAATAAAAACTTGTGAGTCATACCATCACACGCACACACGCACACACATTTGATTTATTTGAAACACCAACAACGAGAACCTGTCCGTATATTGTGTCTACGGCATTACCATCACATAGCCATGTGCACATGGACGAAACGTACGCATTTGTGTTGGTGGGTTTGATAATGTCGGGCTTGATGCTTGTGTGCGAGCAACAACACGATCCGTGTGACTACACATAAGAGTCTAGTGCATACAACGAGTCAGTTATTCGTAAACAGTTGATCGGCAATGACATACGTCTTTTCGGCGGTGTTTGTCAAAATTACAAGTTATCGAACACAAAGTGAATGGCCGAAAAATATGTAATCTGACAAAAGTTGGCCAAAGTGAATTTTGGAACAGAGAAATATTCATGTTGTTTAAAAACAAAAATTTAGAAACGATAGAGAAAAAAATAATCGAAAAAAAACCAACAAAAACAGAAAGAAAGATTGTTTTCAAAGAAGAAGATAGAAGGGAAAAAAACGTTGATTAGTGTTTTTAGTTTTGTGCACACAGAAAGAAGAAAAAAAAAACCGAAAGAAAATTTCTTGAGTTATTCACAATTCGAAAAGCTTCGATCAGTGTTTGAGTTTTGTGCAAAAAAAATTGGTAAACAAAATTCTTGCGTTACACACAATCACGTTCCTCATGATGGAGGATGCACAGCTCATGCAAACTGAGCTGCCCAGCATGATAGGTGGCGGACTTGCAAATGGAATGAGCATCGGTATTAGTAATGGCGGCGGTTTAATTTCACATCGACCACATTTTCACCATCGTTACGCTCCATATCCATTACATCGGCCGCATTTACAAACCGTATTGCCATTTTTGCATTCGCATTCACAGCAACGACACATCGCACTAGGCCAACAACCGCAGCAATCTCAGCAAACCACATCTTCGTCATCATCGTCGTCATCGGTGCATTCACAGAAACACATCGAAGCGTCAGTCACCACAGAGGAGCAAAATGAACCAGAGGGAACCCACGTTAGCCATTTGTATCCGGAAATTTTAACACAAATTTTCTCAAAACTCAGTGTACGCGATAGGGGCCGAGCGGCCCAAGTGTGTACGGCATGGCGAGATGCTGCCTACGAGAAAAGCGTATGGAAAGGTGTCGAGGCTCGACTGCATTTACGACAAAAGAACAACAATCTGTTTACATCGTTGCAACGACGTGGCATTCGCAAAGTCCAGGTGCTATCACTGCGCCGAACAATCAAAGACGTTATCTCCGGTGTACCTAACTTAGAGACGTTAAATTTAAGCGGTTGCTACAGCATCACCGATGCAAATCTATGCAATGCATTTAATCAGGATTTACCGAATTTGAAAATTCTCAATCTGTCACTATGTAAACAAATCACCGACACAAGCCTCAATCGAATAGCATACCATTTGAAAAACCTTGAAATCCTAGACTTAGGTGGTTGCTGTAACTTAACGAATGCATCGCTGTCAGCCATTGCCATAAAATTGAAGAAATTGCAACGACTCAATCTACGATCGTGTTGGCAAATTACCGATCAGGGTATTTGCCAGTTGGCCGGTTTGAATAAGGAGAAAGCAACGGCATCGGACCAGCCGCTCTCATTGAAATATCTCGGTTTACAGGATTGTCCGCGGCTCACCGACGAATCGTTGAAATACATTTCACAAGGTCTCCCAACCGTTGAATCGATCAACTTAAGCTTTTGTGTATCAGTTACCGATAGCGGTTTAAAATATCTAGCACGCATGCCAAATCTGAAGGAGCTCGATCTACGAGCATGTGATAATATATCGGACATTGGTATGGCCTACTTAACCGAAGGCGGATGCACGGTTACCTCCCTCGACGTTAGCTTCTGTGATAAAATCGGCGATCAAGCACTGAACCATCTATCACAGGGTCTGTTTCATATGCATTCGCTGAGCTTGAACCATTGTCAAATCACCGACGAGGGTCTTATGCGCATCGCCAAAAATCTACTCGACTTGGAAACGCTTAACATCGGCCAGTGCGATAAAGTCACCGACAAAGGTTTACAATCACTGGCAGAATATCTACACAATCTGCACTCAATCGATCTGTATGGATGTACGCAACTCTCGCAAATGGGTCTGGATGCGATCATGAAATTACCAAAGTTGACTAGAGTGAATTTCAGCCTATGGCTCGTAAGGTGATGGAGTTAAATTGAGAAACTATCTAATCATGCATACCACCACTGAAAATACCACCAAAATCATCATCATCAACGACATTAACAAAACGAGCAACAACATCATTCACACGCCGACAGAGCCGACAAACAATCGTTTGGTTTGCAATTTTTTTTATAGTTAAATTTCACAAAAAAAAGATGTATTAGTACCTACATTAGTAAAGGGTGTCCGAATGCAAACGCGTGAGCGATTCTTGGGGTGCATCTCAAAACACGTTGGGAACACAAAATGAAATCAATTTTCTCATATGGATTATATCGTGCCAATTTTACGTAGAAAAGAGTTCATTCGTTTTTAAATTCACGATTCCAATCCCGCAATTTTTTTTCTCTATCGAATTATTTTATCGCCATGTAGAGATCCATTTCTGTCGCCATTTTAATCGAGAACACTAAAAAATCCATCGCTTCAAATCTATTAATCGATTCAGAGATTTGGCTACATTTGAGCTGAATCCATACCATCTTGACTATTTGTTGGCAACCAAAATCGAAAGTTATGTCTTGGTCGATGTGAGGTTTCAGCAATAAGTCTCAACGTAGTAGTGCCATGACGGATAACATATGGCTTTCATTTCTGTTGAAATTCCGTAGATAATCATTCCCATACGCCTCCTTGCTGGCAAGCGATTCTTTTATTTCTTCAGAAAATAAACTACTCAGAATGTGCTTATCGACTTTGTGGGATATGTCTACTAACATTTGGATTGAGCAAATATTGTTCACTCTCTAATATTCATTGATTGATTATTGTGCATCTTTGTTACTGCTCAAACTACAAAGTCATTGAACGCCTGATTCGGACACCTTTTACTTTTCAATCAAGTAAATGAAAGGGAAAAAAATATAAATTCGTTGAAAAATAATAAAAACAATAGTAATAAAAATGCAATGTAAAATAGAAAAAAGACGGAGCATTACATTGAAATTACAGCAAATACTACTCACAACAACAACAACAATAATAACAACAACAACAAAAAAGGGGGAAACCAATTCTATGTTAGCTACAGTCCGTTCTATTGTTCCAATACAACTTAATTATCTGCACATTTTCGTGTTTCTTTTTTGTTATTAGATGGATGTTGTTTTTTTTTTGTTTCTTCAACAAACGAGAAAATTAATAGTTAGCGAATGATAGAAGTAGAATGGCTTTGCTTTGCTTTCCGTTTCATTTGTTTATGTACAATATCAAGTAAAATATTTAGAAATATATTCCCCCAATTGACGACGAAAAATAAATCGAGAAATATACTGATGCAAAAAACAACCTAAACCTAAGCAATAGAAGAAAGAAAAAAAATGTATAATAAATTTTTCAAATTAAACTCGTAAAAAAGATAGAGAACTGGTTCTGTAAACATTATACTATACATGCGTTGAAGCGGTGTTTCAAAGATCATGGGAGACAGAGAAAAAGAAAGAAAAAGGAACAAAAAAAAAACGTTCAAAAAACGTTAACTCATTTAGATAAACCTAGCAATGTTTATTTCCAGATTTCGAATTATTTTAAGTTGTTGCAAAAGGAAAATGTTCAAAAATGTTTTGTTTTTCCTGATTACTTTTTTTTACACGGTTAATTTTATTTTTAACCATTGATTTCAATTTTTTTTCTATTTTCGTTGTAGTTCATTTTTATATACAAGTTCAAAATTATGATATTTATAGAATCAAATCGAAATTATAGAAAAAGAAAGAAAAACAAACAAATTTATTGGTGGAGAAGAAAATATGGAGGATTTTAACGCATTCGCGTGAAATCTTTTCTCTTTTTTTTATTACAAACAAAGCAAATTGAAACAAATCAAACCAAATCAGTTGAGCAAATGATAACGAAATGATTTAGAAATTAAATTGATTGCATTTTGGGATGAACGAGATAAAGAAACATTATCCAGAGCATGTAAATGGTTTGCGCTACGAATTTTTTTTTGTATAAACGATATTTCCAAAATTAGAGAAAATGAAATTTATGTTAAACAATGCAATGCTAAGAATAGAAGCGAAGAAAATAAAAACCTATGAAAGAAAATGGAATGTCATAAAAATGAATATGTACATATATTTTTACCTAAAAAAAAGAAACATTGTCATTTTTGTTTTCAACAAAATGTGTATTTGCATGCAACAACAAGGAAAAAAAACTTTTTTATGTTTATTGCTAAAAACTATTCTATAGTTATTAACGATTATATGGGCTAATATCAATTACATCGCCCTCAAATAAACGAATAAAACAACCTTTTTTGTTCAAAAAAGTGAAAAATTAAAAATTTTGTCGTTTTCTTTTCCACATTTTACTTTGTACTTTTATTGACACAGGAATTGCCCATACCGTTTCCCGAAGCGAAAACATGGAAACCATGAATGCCAAATGCACACAAGACGCTACAAAAAAAGAGAAAACAATAATGATAATGAACCATATATCAATAGTTGTTTGTCAATAAAAATTGGGATTGTATCCTGATATGAACTGCTTGCTGCACTTTTGACCAAAACGCATTTTTTTCTGCCTGAGAATCCGGACCGTGATTTTATCACCATGATATTTTCGGTCATATGCTTGTGTCTCGTTTTACAAGCAATTTGATATTTTCTCCTCTTTTCCATTTTCGATGTTTTGTGCGTTTAGTTTTTGCTAATGGCCCGAGTGTTAACGTGTCATTTGGATGTCATAAAAACGAGAATGCGAATGCATACACACACATGCCAATGAAGAGCCGATGCACAAAAACGAGGAACAAACCCATGAACGAAAAGCAATAAAACAGTTGACAATAGAAATAACGACAGAAAAAAAATCCCAATTGAATTCTCAGCTTCATTCGGTTCCACGGTCTGCACATATTCGTTTGTATGCGCGCACACTCACACACACTCCAACTGCCTACCCAAAAACTGAATGGATTACTTTTCTCTGCTTTTTGCAATCGGTCTGCAACAGGTAAAAACTCATGCGATTTTTTTTCCAGTGCCCGGTCACAAAAACAGTCATCGATATTAACAGACATCATGGTTGTAGGCAGAGAAAAAAAACCAACGTTTCATAAAAATACATTTCACATTAAAGTCGATGCAGTTTAATTACTCAGTTGCTCATGACATTGACGCCCGTTTGCTCTCTCACTCACTCTGTCTCTTTCCCATATGCACAAAATCAATTGAACGAATGCTTTCGAACACAATTTGAATGCAACGATGGCGAGGACGGCGATGAGCAAAAAAGGTAATCGAAGAGCATCTCCATTCTAAGTTAGAATGGAATTAATTTCTAAAATTCGACAGTCATAAATTTTGTAAAGTCATACAACTGTTTGGAGCAATTAGCATGCACTTTTACAATTGGCAATTAGTTGCCGTAAATCAAATTTGGAGAAGACCATTTGTGACCAGTCAATGCAAAACTCAGCCCTCTTCCATCCATCACCATTCAGTCGGTCGGTTTTTTATCTCGCATTTTGTCATAGTAATTTTTGTTTATGAGCCTCGCTCTCTGTGTGTATGTGTATTGTTTACGAAATTTGAATGCATCGAACAGTAGCTCAACAAAATGGACACGCGAGCTCTCCCACCTTGTCGTCACAGCAGCAAGTCGCAAACGGAACGCACTGTTTTTGCTTGCGTTCATTGTTTTGTGTCACTAGAGACAATAAAGAAAAATCTACATAAATAAATGCACTCACTGCTGCCCCCATCGACAAACGATCGACACAAACAATGCAAAGTAACAGCTTCAATTCTTCATGCTTTCTCAAAACCTTTGTTTTTACACACAGCATGTGGCCCCAGCACTTTCTTATCCAAGTTGTTCACGACGACGTTGCCGGGCGTGTGAAACTTTCCCCTCGTTACCAGATGCCCTCGATACGTTTCAGTATTGTACAAAATGCTAAGGACACGTTGGTTTAATATAGGATATTCAGGATATGAGCTGAATCGTATTTTACCACAAAATACGACTTTTTTTTCTGAACGAAGATTCTTGTTAGAGCAGCTTGAGTTAAAGAAGAACAATTGTATCATATCGATTTATAAATGGCCATGCGAAATTTATTCTTCAAATACGGTCGTCGTTTTACTTCCTCTGTCAAAGCAATAAAAAAACGTCGTCCTCGTCGTCAATAGCTCATTGTAATTAGCAAACAATATCTTTTTTCTTTTTAAAATTGCAATTCAAATTGAGTCCGCGCGAGCGAAAATATGGACAACAAACGACACATTCATGAATATTTAGTTTCATGAAGAAGAAAAAAAACGTTGACGCAGAATTTGCTTTTTTAATGCAACTTAATGCATTATAATGCCATGAAAATTTGTTGACTGCAAATTAAACGGCTATTGAAATTCGTATCGGTTGGTTTTTTTTGTTGTTGCACACATATGATGACGGTTTCACCTTTTTCGAGCTGTTTCTGCGTGTATTTACTATTGAATATTCAAAATTTGACATAGAAATATATCATCATTAATAATTTCTTGTCCAATAGCTTCGATATAAACAGGCAATGTTCAGGCATTTCGTAAATTTTCTTTTAATAAAAACCGACTTAAGTGATCGAACATGCAATGCGTGATAGAGCATCGCTTTGACGCTGCAACTAGTGCATGAAACTAAGGCAACTGATTGAAGTTTAACGTTGAAGAAAAAACGGGCAACGGCTATCCACACACTTCGATCTGTGTCGTAAAATGAATGCTCAAAAGAATTACTAGCAAAACTATTTGAAATATGTCTTTCTTTATTGAAAATCAGCCATAGTTCCATGGATAATTTCATCTACATATTCTACGAAATGAATTAAAAAAACAACGATAAATGAATTTATCAAATCGTTCAACAGTCATGTAAAATACACAGAAGATGCAAAAATGGTAAAAACGTGGAAAATATCGCTAACTACGTCAAGAAATAAGGAATTTAAAGACAAACTAAAGGAATAAAAACAAATGAAATCTTTTTACATGTTCTATATGTGTATCAATCGTTGCAGATGACAAATTGCGCATTCGTATTCGCAGTCTGTTTGTTGTTCAATATTCAGCGCTTCATCAAGTACTCTTCAGCGAATTTTTTTTTCGTTATTACGTTGTTGTATGTTAACAGAAGATTCGGGGAAGAAAAAATTCTATTGTGACATGGGTTTTGTCTGCCGACTTCCATTTCTTTGTGCATTTTGATCATTGTTTTTTTTTCATGGAATTCGGCATCACAATATTTTTCTCGTGAAGATGAAACGTGAACGTTAGCGTGCGGATTAGAGAAGAAAAAAAAGTGGCGCTAAAATGTAAACAGTAAAAGAACGCTGACTAGCCTACATGCCGTAACGCTGCTGCTGCTGCTGCTAGCCGTCGAGCACGCGAACATAAAGCAAAATGCAACAAATATTTGAGAGTGAGAAAAAAACAACGAGCAGAAAAATAACAAATCCTGCAAGCTTTTAGATTTGTTCATCATCGTCTGTTTACGTTCGAGACGACGTACTCTAGCTGCGACGACAATTACTTTTTGTGCATTCGGCCATGGAAGTGAAGCATCAACTCTGGCTCGAACACATCTTGCATACGCACAGCATTTATAATCAACGTTTATTTCATTTTTTTGTTATTTGAGTTATCGTTGTACATACACTATAGTATGCACTATAAAAACAAGTGACGATGTTTTTTTTTCGTCATGTCTTTGGGAATGGTTTTGTTTGCCATTTGATTTAATATTTTGAAATTTCAGTGTTTCTGTTCTGTACAATTGCAACGATGTTTGTTTATTGCATCTAATCCTCATGGCTACTAAAGTAGCCAAACGAAATGTATACACACTGCATCGCCCAAATCACGATGAGCAGCACGTCGCCATGGAACTATACCCGCTCCTTTTAAACGGAACATAATCAAATGCGTGTACGAGAATCCGAATGTGAATATTCCAAAGCATCAGTAGAAGTGGCGACCACTTCACACAAAATCACACCGATATGTTTACATGCGTCTATTGCGTAGAAATGTCGCTGAAGGAACACAATTTTTTTACTGTTTGATGTCCGCCACAGTAAAGTGGAATCAGAAAAAAAACACTATTTATTCAGAATGAGGATGTTCGATGTTCAATTCAAACAATCACGTATGTGCGCTTGATTTCAATAGCGTTGAAAATTTCAGTGAGATTTCCAACTTGTACTCATAGGCTAGAGATCGATCCGACACCTAAAAAAAACATGTGCATACCATGTGTTTTTTCTTCTTCATTTTCCTCCCTAGATTTTCCGCGTGTCGTCGGTGTCTTATAGAGCACTTCATTTGGATCGTGGATTCGTGGGACCAACAGAAAACAACGGTTGATATATCGTTAGGCAACCGTTCGCATAGAGAATAAAACAAAATTAAAATTATAGTACACACACAGTCTCTCTCCCTCTCTCTCTCTCTCTCTCTCTCTCTTTCGCTGCATTCCCACAGCGCAAACACTCACGCACATGATGACGTCCATATCACTGGAATTTTAATCGTGTACAGTACTTCCATCGGCTCGATTGATAAACGTCGTACTGTCTAACATATTCACAGCATTAACTGTAAATGCAAATGGGCTTGCATATTATGATGGGATCGGCCTCTTTTGCCTACTTCATTGATATTCTCTCAGCTTACTTCAGCTATCTTTTGCCGCTATGTACTATTCGTTACTACCACTTCCTCATCAAAGCATCCGTTTGCGTTTCGCAGTTTTCACTTTAAATTACTTTCTTGATTACGCAAAATAGAACGAATTTTGATCGAAATAAGTCATATCGGCAATATCAGTCGTTTTCAAATAATAAAGACTTCTTGTTAATCATATGTGTAGTGTCTTCAAGATGAAAAGATTAATTTTTGAAATACATTCACTCTACTCTGTCCATGGCAGAGGAATGCCGTTCAACTATGGTCCTAAGGCTGGTTGATTTTTCGGATTTTATATCAAAACAGAAAAACGTAGAACTGGTTTCAATCATCGAACAGTTTTAGATAATAATCGGTTGTGCCGAACGCATAGAATACGCGCAATTTTTGATGGAGCCAATACACATGTTATGCATGTTTACACCAATAGTTACGGCCGTGCCATTAAGCGTATGACAAGAATCCATATTCATTACTGTTGGTACGACGGTGTTGATTCAGCATATACACGCACACACACACACATACACACACACAGAGAGAGAGAGAGAGCGACACATACACAACATCCATGAAAGTCGTTCGTGAATTTAAAGGAGAATGGAAAAAAATA